ATTCGAAATTATCTGGATTATTTAAATTCCTAAATATTTCTAAACCATTGTGAAAAGTATATTAAAATCTATTCACGCTTTTGAAAGAGAGAGAGAGAGAGAGAAAAGTCGAGTGTGTGGGTGCATGGAGGGTTTAAACATCGTCAGTGTAATCCAACTCAGGGTAGAAAAGAAGAAAAAAAGAATTGGAATGGGGAAATACGATCCTATCCCTTCGAGCTTCTATATATATATACGATATCAGGATTATCACGCACGTTTCAAACTCCTACGTCTTTTGATTCTCTCCGATTCTCTGTATGTGGGAGTTCGTGTACTTTCATCTATTGACAATTCGATTAAATTCTACGTGTATATGTTGCCAAACATTTTCAAAGTATCTCTATATTTAGAGCTCTCAAAGATATATATGTATTTAAAGAATAACGACTTTTGTGTGATGATAAAACTTTTTTTTTTTTGTACTTTTACACATTTTAAATCTGAATTATAGTCACTTTCTGCTATCAGTTAGTAATTTTCTGGTATTATTAAGTAGTTTTCTACTATCAGTCAGTTTTTTCTACTATAAATTAGTAGTTTTCTGCTATCAGTTATTAATTTTCTACTACCAATTATTAGTTTTCTACTGCCAATTACCAGTTTTCTATTATTAGTTAGTAGTTTTCTGCTATCAGTTACTAATTTTCTGCTATGTATCATTAAGTAGCTTTCTACTATCAGTTAGTAGTTTTCTACTATTAGTTAGTCATTTTCTACTATCAGTCAGTTACTTCTACTATCAATTAGTAGTTTTCTGCTATCAGTTATTAGTTTTCTACTACCAATTATTAGTTTTCTGCCATCAATTATTAGTTTTCTACTGTCAATTATTAGTTTTCTATTATCAGTTAGTAGTTTTCTGCTATCAGTTAGTATAGTTTTCTATTATCAGTTAGTAGTTTTCTGCTATCAGTTATTAGTTTTCTACTACCAATTATTAGTTTTCTGACATCAATTATTAGTTTTCTACTGTCAATTATTAGTTTTCTATTATCAGTTAGTAGTTTTATCCTATAAGTTACTAGTTTTCTATTATCAGTTATTAATTTTCTGCTATCAGTTATTAATTTTCTACTATCAGTTATTAATTTTCTGCTATCAGTTAGTAGTTTTCTATTATCAATTAGTAGTTTCCTGCTATCAGTTAGTAATTTTCTACTATCAGTCGTTTTCTACTATTAGTTAGTAATCTTCTACCATTAAATAGTTGTCTCCTAATATTAGTTTACAAATTTCTATTATCAGTTATTAATTTTTTTTTTTTTTTTTTTTTTTGTAAATGTTCTCATCAATAATTATTTCAAAATAAACTAAATCGATATTACAGAATAAATTTATTATAAATAGAAAATTTCGAATGTATTTCATATAAGGGAGAAATTCACCTTCTTTTTGTAGCAAGGACAAAGATATATTGGAATTTATGAAAGTGAACTTGACTTTTTTTTTATCTCATCTTATATATGCGTCATCCTACGACTGATGGCTTATCGGACAATTTATTCGTATTCCGGTGCGACCAACTGTTGCTGATTCACTGGCCGCGTCCGGTGAGAGCCCCAATTAGCCGAACTGAACCCTTCGCTCGCACCCTTTTCTTTACTTATACAATTCCCCCTCAAGCCCTTTTTCATCTATTTCACTAAAAGCCTAAATAATTCCTCGAAACGCAAAATATCCAAATATCAAATAAATAAATAGAAAAGAAAAATAGTTTCTGGATAATATAGGACAAATTTATTATTGAATTAAACAATTTTTTTTTGTTGAATCAACCAAAAGTTTATTTGGTACAATAAAATTTGTTTATTTAGATTAAATAATTATTTGAAAAAAAAATTTGTTTAATTTGATTTAAATCAATTTGATATATTATTTCCGGAACAAGAATTTGTATAACAAAATGAGTATAATTTTTCATAAATGATATTTTGTATTCGAGATTGTAATTCGAAAAAAGAGAATTTATGAGACAATTAATCTTATGTGGTCGGGGAAAAGGTTATCTATATGTATGTATGTGGTTAGTATATAAAATTGATAATATATATACTTTTGAGAGAAAGTAACAACAATTGCGGATAAGGACATTGTATAAGAGGGTGAATGAGAGATAAATTTCGTAAACCTTTACGACTTCTCTAATTCTTCAAAAAAAAAAAAAATATATATATCAAAATATATATTATTTAAATAAAAATTTTTAGAAAAAATTATATTTATCGAATCAAAAAATATAAAAAATTAAATACAAATGAAATTCAACTTTTTTTTTTATAGGGGATGAAAAAGACCCTTTTTTCTGATTAAAGCTTATATACATTATTATAGTTCAATGATTGATAACAATCTTTGGATTTAATACCATATAATAAATTTTCATTTTAATTCCTATCGGACGGAAACAATCGTGAGATTATCAATAATATTAATAATACGGAAAAGATTTCGGAGAAACCTTGAAAAAAAAATTCTAAAAATAGATAAAAAAAAATAATAATAAATGGCCTTTAATTATAAAAAAAAGAAATATAATTTTACTTAATATGAATGAATTTAATAATGAATAAAATCATTTAATGAAAATATTTTTATTATTATTATTATTATTATTATTATTGGTTAATAAATAAATAATCTACAGAAAAATTTATATTTTTAAAAAACAAATTAACTTATTTTTTCTATTAAAATAAAAACGATTTTCAAAAGAATTGCTGCAATTGCATATAAGTGAATAGAATCAGTAGTTAAAGTCAGCCATATGTCAGCCAGTGATAAAGATCCGAGTTTCGTCAGGCCTCACCATTTAACATGAAAATTTATTACACTATGTATTTTACAAAAATACAAGTTTATTGATAATTACAATTTATTAAAACATTTTTTGTACTTTCAAAATAATTAACTAAACACGTAATTAATTCAGAAATAATATTTTTTAAATAAATTATTTCATTGATTAAACAATAATAATAATAATAATAATTATAATAATAATAATAATAATAATTTTTAGAGTATTGAAATAATTTTTAAAATTTATATAAAATGGAGCTATTAACTATTTTTTAAATTAAATTTGAAAACAACTTTATTTATAAAAAAAAGGTAATAAATTAATGTTAATTTTGTACCAAAGTTTCTAGAACTATATATATATTCTTTTGAAGAGAAACCCCCCCCCCCTTCTTATAATAAAAAGTATAAAGCTTAATCAAAAGAAAGGGGTAAATTTATCTGATTGCATTTCTAGTTTGGCAAGATGAAGTATAGTGAAAGAAAGAAGTTTAAATCTCCCGGGATTCAAGTTTCACAAGAAAGTATATATATATGTCCTTAAGCAGATTTTCCTTGCAATTAAAGTGGCACATATACTTTATAACTCAATAGGGATTTTTCTCAAAGAAAATATATTTCAAAATAAAAAAAATATATATTCATATTTTATTTTCAATTTTATGAATTTTATTTTTTAAAAAAAATTTAGATTTTATTTTTTCTCTCTAAAAAAAAAAAAAAAAAAAAAAGATTTTCATTTAAAATGCATCAACATTTAAAATCTAATAATGAAAAAACTTAATAAATTATATATTCTTATTTATGGAGATTAACAATTTTGATTACGATTGAATTTCAGTTTTAGCCATTTTTTCTTATATACCAACACGCGGTCATATACCTTTAGCTCATTTATAGTAAAGAAAACTATTATATATAGTGCCACAAAGTCTATGTTAAGCTTCTAGTCACGAAACAATGGCCTTTCTATATAAAATTGTTATCGCGTGATAAAACTTATTTTTCCCGGAAGCCACGCTTATAGTGCTACATTTGAATTTTTTGCCCAAGTTTACAATATTAATTTATTCCTTACAGAAACATATATATTTCATTTATGTGATTTTACGTAAAAAAAAAGAAAATTAAACAAAAAATTTAATAACAATTATTATATTTATTTATTTTTCTAACAAAAAAAAAAATTATAAACAATTTTTTTGTCAATATTTCATTTTTTTTCCTTCCTTTTTTTTTTTAATAATTCCAATCGAATTTTTGTGCACACATGCAATGACAATAAAAATAGGGCGTAAAATTCCAATCAAAAAGGATTTTTTCAATAGTTTTACGAAAACGGAGAGGAAAAATATATAAATTTTGTTTTCTTTTTTTTTCATACTACTATATATATATACGGTTGCATCGAATTGAATTTAAAGATATAATAAAATTCGAACTTTTACTGCCTAATGTAAATAAAATGAGAGACGCGAAGTTTTTTTTTTTTTTTTTTAAATTTCTTCATATTATATTGGAGTATTGGTCGCAACATGAATTTCTTTTCAGGGTTGTTATAGCAAAAGAACCAGAGAAAAAAAAAGAAAGAGGGAGAAAAAAAGAGAGAGAAAAAGAATAAAGAAAGAAATCAAAGAGAAGAGGGGAATCGATAAAGACTCCAAGAGGGTAAAAAGCCGAACAATATGGCTGACTAACAAAAAAAAAAAAAAAAGAAAAAACTAAAACTTTTTTTTCTTTCTCTTTTTCAAATATAAATATTACCATTTTTTTTCCCCCTTTTCTAAGGGAGGGAAAATGCTTTTTTGTCCAGGACTTCATTTCGAAAAACGAAATATTTATTTTTATTATACAAATAATGCAGAAATTTCTAAAATTAAATCAATTTTTCAACAGAAAGTGATTTTACTAAGGGAATTTAGGGGAATATAAAGGAATTTAATACTTCAAATCTTTTACAATTACACTGAGAAAAATATGCTATTGAATCAATAGCATTTCTGCCAAAGGTATAAAAATTATTAATTCAAAAGCATATGCTATAAAATCTATAAAATATTTTACAAATTTAATAGCATATGCTTTTGAATCAATAATTTTTATACCTTTGGCAGAAATGCTGTTGATTCAAGAGCATATTTTTCTCAGTGTAAGAATAATTTTCTACATTTAGTAAAAATTTTATTCTTATTTTTAAATATTTATTTTAACACTAATACCCTGTAATAATTTTTCTTAATAAATATTTCAGACTTTAATTCTGATTTTCGAATGTCCTAAAAATTGTAACTATAGAGGAGCAAACAAAATTATCAGATGAATTAATACTAATTCTTAACATAATCTTACAATTCTAAAAAACACTTAAAAAAAAATAAAATCTAAAATTAATTTCTAAGTCCAAGACATTTTCGAATTTCGAGTCCAATTGCAGCGGCAACCGGCGGTGGAACGGCATTTCCAACTTGACGATATTTATCAACAATATTACCATAAAATAAATAATTATCAGAAAATCCCTGTGATCTAGCACATTCACGAACACTAATAACACGATTTTGTTCAGGATGAAGTACACGTCCCTGTTTTCCAATTGGCTCAGGATTTGTAATTGTAGTGAAAAAAAATCCATCCCACTCAAGTCTTCCATACAATCCAGCCCAATGATTGTGTCTATTTCCAGTGTGTGGCAAACACCAAGGAATCAATGTATTATACTGCTTATCAGAAATATCACATTTTTTGCCAAGACAACAACTACAAACACCTCTAAGTGCACCAGTCGAACTTCTTCCAGCTTTCTCATCATGATAAGTGTACTCGAGTTTCTTGGACCAAGTCCCATCACTCAATTCAACAATGATATTTGGCAAATCTCGCCAATCTGATCCATTCTTTGGAATCAATTCTATTCTTGCTTGTACCAATGGCGCCATTAACTTACAAATATGATCCTTAAGTATTGTTTGATTTCCTCTCAACTTTCTTTGATAATCCGTCTCAGCAAATGTTTCATAATCCATTGCATCTAAATTCGAACCATTATTAATTATTGGCAAATCAGAAATAGCATCCCTTACATTCACCATTCTCAATGGTGCCGATTCCATCCATTCACAATTTGTCAAATATTTTTTATTATCAACCAAACTTGTCAATTGACAACCTCTTTTACTAAAACAATGCCTTGGTTCGGGAAAATTAGGTAAAATTTCACCCGTAGCTGCTGCAATGATAAATAATCTTCGTCTAGTTTGTGGTACACCATAATTTCCCGCTTGTAAAATTCCAAAAGTACACTGATAACCCATACGTGTTAAACAGCGTAGCGTCAATTTTAAAACCATATTCTTTTTAAATGACACAAAACTACGTACATTTTCCATTATAAAAAATCTTGGTCGATAATAATCACAGTATGACAAATAAGTAGCAACGAGGGAATTTTTAAAAAACGAATATTCCCTCGAATTAAAACGATTCATACCACTAAAACCCTGACAAGGTGGACCACCACATAAAATTTCAACCTCACCTTTCCGTGGCAATTTAATACCCTCCTCATTTTCAAATATCCCTTTCATTATTTGACTCAATAAATAATTACAATCATCATTAAATATTTTCACATTCGAATTATTTAAACCATACGCCACTGATGCCGATTTATCATTTTCAATAGCCCATTTCACTTCACTAACACCCGATTGTTTTAATCCTTCCGATAGTCCACCACAACCTGCAAATACATCTAAAGTCGCTAATTTCCTCACCTTTGGATAATTATTCCCAAATTGTAAAAACTCCTTTGCCGATTTTGATACATCACCAAATAATTTCTCCTCTGGATAATAAGTCTTGGAAAAATAAAAACGATCACTACCTTCCGTTAATAATTCTTTTTTAAAATTTCCCTCAAATGCCAAATAACATTTACCAACAACAACATTAAAAAATGGTACAACAATTTCCTCTTCACTCCAATAGACTAAATTTAAATCTAATTTTCGTATTGATTCTTTATTCATACACGTATTCTCCGGTCGATAAAGTTTACGAACTCTAATCCAAATTTCTCCAGGTGGAACAATTTTTGCTCTACTACCAAAAATAGAAGTTATCACACCAATATCAAATGGTTCAGGTATTGAATCTATAATTTTTACCTTTCGATAATATTCCGGATAAATATCTTCGTTAATATTTTTTGAAATATCCTTTTGTTTCTCATTTTTTGTTTTCTCATTTTTAAATTTAAAACTTCCGGGTTTTAAATAAACACCTGTATTAATACGAAAATTTTCATTTTTAAATTTAATCAAACCATATAATACTCTTTCAAATTCTTCGCCATTTTTTTCAAAAACACGAGGAATATTTTTATATTTTTTTGATGTAAATTCCAAACATGCTTGACAGAAATTAAAATTTTTTGTAATTGGATCCTCAAATCTTGCACTATTCTCCAAATATCGTTTGTTACAAAAAAATTTCTCATCACTATCATTAGAAATGACATCAACTTTATGGGAAATTGTATTAAATGCAATATTATCGCACCTCTCACTGTAAAATAATTCAAACTCATCAGCAGTTTCACCGAGAATTGTGTCAGCGGCTCTCCAGTACCAATTAGCGTGGATTAATTTATTGCCCGCTTTGTCTTCGAACATATAAAAAATACGAGCTACCTGAGCTGATGAATTCACTTCAATTAAAACACAATCTTTTATTTGAATCACATCATCGCCTAAAATTGCCTTTTCATAAAAGACACGTTCATTGTCTTCACCAATTGATTCGCCAATCCATTTTGCATCTTTATTAAAAATTGTAAAAATATTTTCTCCATTCTCTCTATCTAATTCAAAATTATTTAATTTTTTTCCATGAAAAAATGTTTCAAATGTATCTCTAACTAATGGCGTTGTCGTTGCATTTGTTAATAATTTTTTATTTTTTTGCCTTTTTTTGATGAGTTGATTCACAATAATTTTATCACATTTCGCTTCAGTTCGCCGGAGATGAGAATTTGGATTTTCCAAATTAACACCCGAGAGATTAATTAAAGATCTCATACATGATTTTGTAATCAACATGGTGTCATCAATTTCAGCTGATGTATCAAATGAAAAAACTTGTTCGCAAATAAATTGTGAATGTTTAATAAGTAATTCGGCATCAAATTTATCCAAAAGATCCTCAAATGATGGATCAATTTCATCTAATAAATATTCAATGACTGATTTACTTGTATTAATTTTTTCCATAATTGGTGTCATAAATGAATTATAAATTTCCGCTGGTTCCATGAGAATATATTCCGCGAATTCTGTATTAAAACCAATTAATGCCGTTTCACCACCTTCAAAACCAGAAATAAACCATTCATTAATTGGTCCAAGATCTTTTGTTGGAAAACCATTTTCAATAGATGGATCATCATTATAAATTGGTTTAACATAACCGGAGAAAAATAATTTCACATTTTTTTCAATAAGACCAGTGTCAAATTGACAGAGATGTCCTTTTTCATCGTAGACGGAAAATTTTGTTATCTTTTGTTGTGGCCACTGATCATATTCAATGAGATTATTTTCATCGCCATTAAATAAACAAAGTTCCGGATTTGTCAATGTTATATATTCCTCGACTGCATTTTCCGGATGTCCGGGATAATTTTTAATTTCCGTTCTATTTTGATTACAATAATCGCATTTTCGAATTTTCGACGCCATTTTTTTTTCCTATATATTTATTAAAATTTGTTTTTGTTTTTTTTTTTTCTTTGCTGAAAAAACGTTCACTGCTAATATCGTGTCTGCAATTGACGTTCCATTTCCGTCGATTGGAATGATGAAATATTTTGATGTGAGATCACTATAAGCATTCGCGAGCACTCGTACTTGACAATAAGTGAAAAATTACGTTCCAGTTGCACCAATTATTTGACCCAGCGACACTACTGTTTCAAACTGGAAGCAAAAACAAAATAAAAAATATAAGAAAAACTAAAAAAAAAAAAATTTCAAAGAAATTAAAAAAAAAAATTATCTATACAAAAATGAAAAAACAAAATAGAAAAAAGAAATTTGGAATAAAATAGAAAATAAAAAATTGGATATTATTCCCCATAAAGTAAATTAGATTAAGACATAAAATAGTTTCATTTTGTTAAATATAAAAAAAAGCAAGAGAGCGAGAGTGCTCGGAAAATTAATACGACTCGTTAACGTCGATAAAACGGAAAAGCCAAACAGAAGAGTAATTACTAGTCTTAATAAATTCCGCTCGATTCAAAACTATATACATCGAAACGAACATGTTTTATGCACGCACATATATAGAGACACGAAATTCACTATATATATATATTATTTGCTCGTGTTGAAAGTGCAAATACTGTAAATGAGTTCGAGTTTCATACACACACACACACACAATTCTCACGCGGACAGATTCACAATATTGGATTCAACGTTTGACGAAATTATAATATAACATTCGTCTGTATCTAAATACAATTTTTTTTTGTTATTTTTCTAAAATATTCAATTTTCTATCAAAATCATCAAATTTTAATTAACACACAATGCGATTAAAATCAGAATTAAAGTCAATTTTTTTTTAAAATAAAAATGTGAATTAAATTTTTCATAAAAATTATAAAATTTTTAAAAAATTTAATCTATTATTAATCGTAATCTATTATTTAATAATTAGTTTCTTTCTTTTTCTAAATAGCAGCTACAATTTTTATTTAAAGGGTACTTTATTTTAAAGTCACGTATATAAATAAAATTTTTTTTTTAAATTTATAAATATCGGAATCTACATTTTTACAACTTTTATAGAAAAAAAAAATAATCTCCTAGTATTTAGAAGAAATTTATTGAAATTTAAATTTAAATATGATTATATCATTAATAAAAGAGAGAAAGTTTATAAAATTTTATACCAATATGGTTAGCTTGGAGAGTAAATTCATTGATCGTGTACAGCTACTCTCTCGATATGTATACGTGTCGTTATTGCGTGCACGTGGATTGCGTATAAAATAATAAAAAAAAAAAGAAAATAGAAAAAATAAACAGAGTTGCACTCCATTCATATATTTATAAATTATAGTAAAAAAATTAGGGCAACAAAAAATATAGAAAAATCCTATCCCCTAAATAATGGATCATTTTTTGATCCCCTTTTAATAAAAAAAAAAAAAAAAAAACAAATACAATGCGAATAACCGGTTTCAAAAATTATTATTACAAAAATTAATTTAAATTAATTGAATTTACAAATAAATAATTTTTTTACGAAACAAATTACAAATATTTGTCGCTTAAGAATATTTAAAATTTAATAAAATCAATAAAAAAAAATGTAGAAATAAATTTTTTTAATTAAAAAAAAATGAAACGAAGGAAATGAAAGGCGTTGGCTTGTAAATGTGAATGATTATATCGACTATATTATAATAGAGAAAACTGAAGGTGGCTGACAAGGAAGATTTTTTTTTCATATAATTATATATATAATAAAAGTGATAGAGTATCAGAAGAGTAAAGATGAAGGAATAATCATGTTAGTGACTAAAAAGTGTCAGACACTATTAAAGAAGTTTATTCGACTCTATATATCATATCGAGAGAGAGACACATACACACACAATGCTATTTAGGGCAAGGACATTTCTAAATTCTCCTTTCTTATATAATTTTCCTTTTTTCGTCTGCGGAGACCCTTAATTTTTTTTTTTTTTTTTTTCTTTCTCGAGAGAGAAAATCTTTTAACCGTCTCTGGAATTAGTTTCCCCTGCACTTGTCGATAAAAAAAAAAAAAGAAAAAAAAAACAATTCACAGCAATATATATAAAAGGGGGTGAAAGAAAAATGTTTAAAATCGATAAAACTAATATTTTTAAAAAGAAAAATAAAATCATTTAATGTAGACTTTTATTTTAACAGGGGAAAAAGAGAGGATTATATTTTACCGTTAACTTTTATACACATGTTATAATTTTACATTTAATTGAATTTAAAATTTATATTTCAACTTAAAATTTAATTGAATTTAAAATTTATTTTCACTTAAATGTTAATTGAACTTTTAAATTTATTTTTATTTCAAATTTATTTTATATTTATTTTAATATTTATTTTATATTTATTTTAATATTTATTTTATATTTAATTTATTCTAATATTTATTTTATATTATAGAAATAATTATTTTTTTGTTTTTGTAAAAAATAGAAAATTTGTTGTTACTTTTTAAAATCGTTAAGAAACAAATTTTATTTTATTATAAAAAATATTTTCAATGATTTTAAACATTTTTTTTTTCTTCATACTAAAAAAAAATCGACGTATTAATAATAAAAACAAATAATTTCCCAGTTAATTACATATGGCTTCGTTAATTTGAAACCAGTGACCTGAGTGCGACGATTATCGACATGACTGTCAGTAATTGGATGTCAAATGAAAGCCGATTAAATATTGATCTTGAACGATCTTCACCTTTCCCAGAGAAAAAGAAAAAAGAAAACTTTTCGGAATTAAAAAGTTGTTTCCAAAAAAAAAAATATTTGGAATTTTAAGATGAAAAATGTCAAACCAAAAACAAAATCAAAGAATTAAAAAAAAGAAAAACCAAAAAAGAAAATTCGAATAAAAAAAAATTCCCCTTTCTCTTGAAGAGATGCAAACGTTGATAAAAAAAAAAGAACGATTTTATAGGATTATATAAAAGAAAATGTCATTTCGTGAATGATATACCAAAAAGTATCGAGGAATATAAAAAAAAATAAATAAAATATAAAACAAAATGCAAAAAATGAAATCGTAAAATCGTGAATTATGCGCACTTTTTCCAAAGGAGAGAAGTATTGCAAATCGTACACTCAAGGGGTTACCCTACACTACTGCATTATTCACAAATATATATGTGTGTAAATTTAAAGCTTCCCAGAGACACAAATTTCCTAGCTTATTCAGAAACTTCTTTGCTCACTTATTTTCTTTCAAAAGACAATTTTTCCCTTTTTATAACTCCTCGAGAAGGGTAAATTTTTGTTGTAAAAATTTATCATAAACAAGAATTGTGATTTATATCCTTTTTTTCTCTTCCATCAAAATTTTATATAAATCAAAATTTCGAATAAGGAAAAAAAATTCCTTTTTTTTAAATTAAAATTTCTTTTATTTATTTATTTTTTTTTTATCATTATCTGGACCAATTTTTCGAACCTCTTCAAGATTTTCAAGGTAACTGTAATCAAACTATAACGATTTTCGATGAAACGAAACGTTTCAGTGATTAAATTTATTGGATAAGTCGTACACCACTAATTGGTGATAAATTTCCTCAAATTGAAATTGATAAAAAAAAGAGGAAAGAAAGAAAATTGATGTAATAATTATTTGGCTTATTTGACTCACTTTCATCTGTCTGGGGTGCTGATAAAATGGCGCTATGCTTTTTCTTCACTTCCTCTACATTTGTCTGGATCTTATCGATCATTTCACGTATCTCCTCCACCTAAAAATACAATCAAAAAATTAGTCTTCTCCCTCGCATCAATTAAATTAGAAAGAAATATTTCTTTCTAAATAATTAAAATTTTTTCTGCAAAAAATTATAACTTAAAAAAAAATGTTTTGGAAAAAAAAATTTTTAAAAAAATTCTTTATTATCGAAGAAAATGAAATTTTTATGATTGGAAATTATTTTGAACTCGTATTTCAGAGTGCGAATCATCTCAAGTAAATCTGGATGTGAAAAGCAAAGTCAGTGCAAGGCATTGAACATTTCCACAATGTGGAGAGAGCAAACAATTTATTTGCCTTCATACCTGTGGAACGTATTTTCCAAAGCTCGTTATCGATCACGATATACACTCTCTATGTGTGTATTTGTGTGAGAGGAAAAGAGAAAAGTGAGTTTTGCGGGTTGGGTAGTAAATATTAGCAGCTAAGCAAATTAATCGATAAAGGCACTCGAGAGGGTCACAAGGGGTCACGAAATGCGTTGGGCGTACCAAAACCCGAATTGGTTAAGTGATTCGCAAATTTGTAGGCGAACTTGATTTACTACACGGGGGTATAATTAAAACCCATGTTAATCTATTCAAATTAAATTTAATCTCCATCATTTTAAATCGCCAGGAAGAATTAAAAAAAAATAATAATAATAATTACAAATATATTATTTGTATTTGACAATATATAAAAATAAAAAAATATTTTACATTTTTATTCTTATTGTGAGATTTTTATTTTTTGTCTAAGAAAAATATATGGAAGAAGATAAAAGGGGTCAAACGATAAGTTTCGAAAAGAGATAAAAAAAAAAGAAGTTTGCACTCTTCGTGGTTTTTGGCGAGTTGCGTTATATATATTCGAGACAATTAAGGATGAATTCTTGGGTCGTTCTGAAATTCAATTAGAAGCAGATTCAGAGAGCATTCATCAAACTCGTTTTAACCTTTCTCAACATACTCCACCCCCCCCCCTTTTTTTTTTTTTTTTTTTTGCTCCCGCCACCGCTACTTTCGAAAAACTTGAAAAACTTTTTCCTCGATGTCACACATTCGCGAACAGAATTCAACACAAGTGCCTTCATTAAGGATATAGCGTGACTGTGATAAACTTTTTTTTTTTTTTTTTTTTTTTTTTTTTTTTTTTTTTTTTTTTTTTTTTTTTTTTTTTTTTTTTTTTATTCATTTCCACCAAAAAGAATCTGCAAAAAAAAATTTTTTTAATTACCAAAAAAATAAATACACAAAGCAATTTTTTTATTTTTTTTTTTTTTAATATATCAAAAAATCTATTATTTTGAAGTTCGATGGCTAAGAATTTTGTTTTCCTTGCACGTAGTGATATTACGTAACAGAACGAAATCGTGAGGAAAATATCAAGGATCAAAAAAAGATTATATATGGAGGATATATTTATTTATTTTCCTCTTCGAGATTGTGTGACATTTCCGGAGAAAGGGTTTATTCGCAACAAATAAAAAAAAGTAACATTTTATTTATGCAACAAAAAAAATAAAACAAAAAATCGAAAACTGAAAATTACTTTTCAAAAAGAGAAAATTATAAAAAAATTTGACAAAATTTTTCTTTCTTGAACCCTTTTTGGGAAAAACAAAAATTTTTTTTTTTTTTTAACTGTGTGTGTAAGTCAAGAGATTACATAAGTACCGGAAAGGGTGTCACGACATGGCAGATTGCCAAGCAACCTCTACGAGTGGCTTAACGTTTACATCGTTACCCACCCCCCAATTTTTTTTTTTTTTTCTTTTTGTTAAAAGGAAACCGAGCAATTAACTTCAATACGAGTGACTAAATCTCTTTGTCGATTCAACAGAAAAAAGGACCGGAAGGAGACTTTATATATATATGGCTATTTATAAGAAGCTCAAAGTGAAAATTAAGATTTTCAAAAACCAGAGAAGATAAACAATTTTTAAAACCACAAATTCTTGTTTGAAAAAAACTAAAATTAACTGAAAATTTTTTTTTGCAAAAATTGTATCTAATTTATTAAATTTGAAAATGAATGTCAAAATAAATTTGTAATAATTTTTAAGGAACGCTCATTTATTATAAAAACCATATTTTTTATTTTGCAAACAAAAAAAAAAGAAGTTATCAACTATTTTATTTTCATTAAAATTTACATGTTTAATTATTTCAAAAGCGATCTGAATTTCAAATTGTATAATTCTCAGGGAACTAAACACATTTACATAAGCAAATAAATTAAGTGCAAGGGATGAAAGAAGCTTTTATTTTTATTCTAAATGAATGAAAGGTTTAAAAAAAAATATTTTTTTTTATGCAGTTACTTTTTTTTAAAAAAAACTCTATTTTCGAAAATTAAACATAGAAAAATTTTAAGCATCAATTTTTTTTTTCTCTTGACAATGTAACTTATCACAACATGGGTTATATTGCATTCTTTGTTTTAAATTTTCAAAAATTTATCTTTTCTACAATTTTTAAACTCTCATTCTAGTCACGTAATGGCTTTTCTACTTTTTTCCTGTCGACGAGAATTTTTGACAAACTAAAAATTCAAAATTAAATTTTTCTCGTTAGAAAAATATTCTTTTTACACTTTAATTTTTTGAATTTTCAAGTTGAGAAATAAAAATCAGAGCTTAGACGAAAAAGCTGTATTTTTTTTTTTTTTTTTTGATTGGACAATTTTGAATTGATAGAATGGTCGAGTTTTGAGCTTCAATGAATCGAAAGGAACGTAACTGGCCTCGATTCATTCGTCTGTGTAACATTGATGGTCGCATGGATTTACACCCGTACAAAGTACCTTTATAAATCTGCAAGAAGTATCTTTACACTCTGTAAATGTTCACAAGCAGCAAAAGCATGAATACATGTCTTTATGATACGCATTCTATCGAGAACTAGAATGTGAGAAACGAGCGGAACAAAAGAAAAAAAAAATAGTGAAATGCATTGTTTCTCGAATTTTGAAAAAAAAAAAACAATTCATTTTAACATTTAATTTCCTTTCATTATCGCGTTAAAAGTTTTAAATACCTAATTAATTATTTTTTTTCAAATTATAAAATTTATATAATTGAATAATTTTTTTAATTCTGTTAATTTATCTCCTATTTTTTTTTTGCAATTAATTACTCACCTCTGCAAAAAATTCCGTCATGAAATCTTCAGGCCCACCCACAGGTACCGAAACATCGTCGGCCACATCGTCCTCGTCGGATTGAGCCTAAAAAATAAAAATTTAATTTTTTTTAATTATAATTTTTGAATAGGAAAAATAAATTTATAGACAAAAAGAAATTTGTCAAGGTTGAATGAATTAGAGTCTATATATATATATATGTGGAAGAGATTAAAAGGCTTATAGGATAAAATAGAGCATAAATTAAGTATTCGCATCACGTTAGCTGGAAATACGAGACATGGATGAACCAATTGGATATTTTTCACAAGGAAAAGCTCAGAAAAAAAGACTGACTCGAGAAAATTAAATTTTCAACACTGCGCGATTAGAAAAAAAAAAGTTATAGAAAATTTTCCAAGAATATTCTAACTTAAAATCTCTCAATTTTAAGAGTTAAGATAAATTAGGTAAATTTTTTCTTTTACTTTCTCCCCCATCCACAAACTTTCATTATTTAAAATACAAAAACTTTTTTAAATTATTCTTTGCGATTATATTTAAATGTAAAACTTTGATATAAAAATTTCCATCTTTGATGGAAGGATTTTTTATATTTTAAAAATAATTTAAAAAAAAAAATGAAATAAATTAAAAAAATCGAAACCTATGAAAAAAATTGACGAAAATTTTTTTTTTATCTTCTTGACAGTAAATAATAATTGATATAATTAAAACATACCGCGATAAGTTTATAAGCTATTCGTGTGAACCTGAACATGAGTCACTTTATTTTTCCTTTTTTTCCCCCTTTTTTCAAGAGCAAAGAAATAAGACAAGATGGATTTTTTTTTATTTTTTTTTTTTACAACGATGACGAACAATAAACGAGAATTAAATGAATCCTTGATATATAATAATGTGCGAGCAGGCTGAATGTGAATCGTTTATACACAACGATTAGTACTCATGTAAAGATCTAACTATAAGAAATAAAGACCTTCAAAGAGTGTCAATTTTATTCTCATAACCAAAAAAAATCAATTAGATACTAAATTTAACATCAGGAAATATAAAATTCATTAACACTTTTAATCTTGAAATAAATATAACGATTGAAATTTTAAATTGAAAATTATTGTAAAAAAGCTAATTAAAATTTTTCTAAAATAATGAAATTATAAAAATTTAAATCAATTAAAAATTAAATATAATAAAAAATTCTTTTCATATTCTAACTGAAAATCATTCTACAGGTTGGTATAAACATCAAAAAAAAGATTCTCATCTTGTCATATTGGCATTTAATATTTTTTCTCGAAATTCTTTATCTTGAAACTAAAATTTTTATCTCAACCGTGTTAAATACGTATTAGCCTAATTAATGCGACTTAGTTGGCTGCTTGATGAGATTAACGTCTAATTGGGACATCACTGTTCGGTTTTTAAAAAAAACACAGTCAAAACTTTGTACATCAATAAAACTATAATAAATTTTTAAAAAATATTTCATTTTTAAGCCAATTATTATTTTTTTTATAATTTTATGGAAATTTACAATGTAAGAAATATTAAACACAAAAAAAATAAATATTAATTATTAAATATGAAAGGGAAATAAAGACATAAGTCTTATTGACGATATCCAAGCTATTATAAGTTCTTATTCATTTCTAAATAGCTGTATCGTAATAATAAGTAAATTACATGTGATGACGACATAGTTAAAGAAAAGGTTATTAGCCAAATGATTAAAGAAATACTTTATCAAATTACATTAAAAAAAAAAAAAACAAGTGTCAAAGGTAATAATAATAAAAAGTTGTCCGAATAGAGAAAAAAAAACAAAAAATTCACATCTATTATTATCTCCATAAAAAGTGATTTAAGAACGTGATATGATTCATCCTCTGTATTTTTTTAAAAACCTGACAAAATCATATATATGAATTTATGACACAAACGACAAAATAAAAAATGCATGACTTATGCAAAAATAACAAATAAAAACAATAAAATTAACTTATACAATTAAAATAAATAATTTAGTTTAAACTCATAAAGACAAATAAAATCAATAATTAATACTATCTTGAAAAATTTGATAAACATATTAAATATTTCCACGATTTTAAATGTCTAATTATAAAGTGAAACAAATTGGCCAATTCTGAATTAAAATGGTATTCATTACACCGAGAAAATTGATCTTTCTCACAATCATTATTAAGAGCAGGCACTTTAAAGAGCTATTCGAGATCTTGATTCGCAATTAACGATTGTATCAAAAACCATTTGACCCGGCTCTGCCGGCACAATGGCATTTCTCAAATTACAATCAATTTCAATTTGAAAAAAAAGAAATATTCGAAATATCACTAAAAAAATAATTGACAGAAATTCGCCAAAAAAAAGAGAAGAGAAAAAAAAATAAAATGAACGCAATTTATATGTCGACAATAAGAGAATAGAGCAAATAAAACAAAAATCAATCAATTGAAAATTTTTTCAACAAACAAGTCAACTGTCAAAATTGACTTCAGGTACGTAGCATTTGATTGATTTTGAGGTCAAGTCGAACCTTTACCGGGGTTTTTTTTTTTGAGAGAGGACACCCCGGAAATGCTTCCTGAAGGTTTTGTCATTTGCAGAAAAAAAGTCGATGTTGACATAAAAAGAATGTGTGACCTCACTTTTTTTTTTAGTCACGGTGTGGCGAGACTTGAGGTCGTGCACGGGAGCCCGCCCAAGCTCAAGGACCTTGCATTATCGCTCTATTGGGCGTTTTTATTAAAAGAAAAAAAAATTGAAATTAACATTTTTTTCACGTCTACTACAGCAATAATGGATGAACAAACCGTATTTGTGACATGATCGGGGTATTGATATAAGAGACACAAGAGATATGTAGACACAATAGTTGAATTAACTTACCGCGACGAGGGCTGCTAATCTATCCTTGGTCATGATGAGCTGGAGGAGTTGCGAATCAGCAGGTGTACGAAGCGAAGCACTTAATGATTAATCCCATTCACAGTTTTTATCCATGTACCACGAACACGGTCACTAAAAACTAAAGGAAACCGAGACACGATCGTAAAATCGATACACTCGCGAAGTCGCCTGCTTCTGCAGTGCCGTTTTATGCCGGTGCGCATGCGCCGATGACGTCAACTACACTCAGGGGCGTACACATGTAAATTTGCACCCCTTGTTGTCTTCTTATTCTGCACATGCGCTCTCATTTTTTTTTCATCTGAAACAAAACAAATTATTTAAATTATTAGTATATTTCTCAAAAAGTAAATAATTTTATTTTAATAAAAATTTTTTTAAAAAATTCTTTTTTTATTTTCCCAACAATCGGAAAGAAAAAATCAATAACATATCGAATCACAATCGAAATTGCGATAAGTAATTTAAAATTTTTATTCAATTTTTAAATTCTAAAAAACTTTTAAGATATAAAATTCTAGTTATTAAAATTAAAAATAATATAATAATAATTGTATTTAAAATTTTGAAAGGCGCGCGCGACTTCAAGAATCGATTGTAGTTCGATATAAACGATATTTCCAAAAACCTAACCTTTTTTGATTTTCCAATTTTTTGCAATGACAGCAAAACAGTGACAGAAGTTTAGATACAAAAACTTGTTTATAATGATATAAAAAAAATTAAATTCTTATTTTAAAGGTCAGTAAACTTTTTATAATTATATAACTATTTAAAAGAATATATATTCTTTCAAAAAGGTACACGTATGTAAAATTTTTGCATTTTATAAATTTTTTTTTTTCTAGTTGGAAGATTTAAAAAACAAAATTCAAATCTGAATTTTTTAATTTTCTATCAATGATATATTTACAAGGAATTTTAAGTGAAAAAAAATATACTGGGAATGACATAACCTTATTTTTTATATAGATGAGGAATAATTTTAAAAAACATTTGTTTAATTGCTACAAAAAAAAAATGAAACTTTTAAATGTAACAATTTTAATGTCTCTGTGATATGATACGCAAAACAATTTTTAAAAAAGAAACCTTTTTTTAATTCATTGAAAGAAGATGAAAATGACTGTGATTTTCAAACATCAAATTTTACTAATTCATCGGTGAGTATTTAAATATTTCTTTTTAATTAGAAAATAAAGTTTCAAATAAATATTTGAATAAAGAATAGAATTCAAAGAATAATGATGAAACATTTCATATATATATATTTGTTCACAGACGAAATCTTGGCACATTCAATGTAAATAAATTGAAACCGGAATTTGTTTTAAGCAATGAAAATCGTCTAGCGTGTATTCAAAAATTAAAATTATATAAAGTCCCAAAAAAGACAGAATTAAATCCAAATAAAAAAGCAGCAATTCTTGCACCACTTTGTATTTATAATGGTGATCTTGGATTTCTCTATACATTACGATCATCGAGATTAAGTTCAAATCAAGGTCAAGTTTCATTTCCAGGTGGAATGCATGATGAAACAGACGCAACATTAATTGATACAGCGCTAAGAGAAACGTGGGAAGAACTACGAATTCCCATAAATAATGTTAATGTTTGGACGAGTTCTGATTTATTTATAAGAAGAGACGTAAGTGTATTGCCGGTACTTGGCTATATTGGTGAAATTGATCCTGAGAAGCTCAATATAAATACACGTGAAGTCGAGTCAGCCTTTGTTGTCACATTGAAAAATCTTTGTGATCCTTCTCTGTGTCGTTTTACACAATTTCGAAATAATTTCACACTGCCAGCTTACCTAGGTGGTAAACATCGTATTTGGGGATTAACTGCAGCGATAACGCACATGATGATGATGGCACTTGTGCCATCCGATTGTTATACTCATAAAATTACGTACCTGAAACCAATTGAGAAAACAATACATCTAAACAGCCAAGTATGACAATTTTTTTTTTTTTTTTTTTAATCTTTAGATAGCTCTATTATATTAAATTTTAATCAAAGATTTGTATATTTTGTTTTTTATGAAAATAAATGAAAAAAAAAGTTTTACTATTTTGTTTACATTTAAAAAAAAATATATACTTGACTATTGTCCAGATTTATTGTCTTCATACTTTAATGAAATTAATTATTAAATTATATTTCACTAATACAAAACAACATTATTTAGCTAAAATATATCAATTTATTTTTTTGATGGAAACTGATTTTTGATAATGGTTGTGTATTTGTCTTTTGTACATTCGCATTATGTATATTATTTATATATTTATAAACAAAAAAATAAACTCAACATAATTCATGAAGAGGACCAAAAAGATGAACCGCTTGACAATTTTCATCAGGATTACCCAAAAATTGTGCATACAATTCTTGGTATCGTGATAAAGTTAATCCACCTCTTCTTCTATCGTCGTCCTATTAAAATTAAAAAAAAAAAAGTAATTCAACATTTCGTAATTATTATTAAAATAAAATAATTATTTAATAAAAATAAAATTTACAAACATTTAAAAGATTTTGATATGATTCGTCAAGAATGTCAACATTGTCCACAGGAATTCTTGATACACAATTATAACGAAATTCATCGGCAGCAATTACACCGTCATCTGTAATAATAAAGTAATAATTGTTTTAATTTTATTCTATTTAAATGAGAGTGAAATTAATTTAATACCATTCAAATCAACTAATTTAAAATGACTGTCAATAAACATTTTCATTGACTGTGGAAATTCACGATATGAACGTCCAACGCAACTCATTTGTACAGCTTTTTTAAATTCCTCAGTCGTCACAATTCCATCCTAAAAAAAATTTTATAATTAATTTTTTCAAAAATAACTAAATTGTTTACAAAAAATTAAAAACTTTTTTACATTTTTAAACAAAAAAAAAAAATTCTTAATTTAAATTAACAAAAGACCTCCAATACAAAGTATTGAATTTTAATTATTGATATTTTTTTCGGTGAGAAATAAAAGGTCGTACGTGACCCAAGTTACAGAATCACACTTTTTGGATTCGTGCCAAGTGTTAATGTACTCGAAATATAGTACATTATCTTCGTTGACAGAAATATATATATATATATATATACAATATGAGAAAAAAAATTTTCAATTTAAAAATCGAATCAATTATTATTACATTCTAAAAATCTATATTATGATATAATTTTTTTTTTTAAATAACAAAAAAAATTTTTTTAAATAAAATCAATTATTTTTTCTTCAAAATTAACTTGAAGAGATTTGGAAATTTCCTTTCGAAATTCATTTCTATTTTTACTACACTTTGTATAAATAATAAGAGAACAGAGGATTTTACTTGACACTTTTGAAAATCGATGGCGTTCAATTGCGAAACAATTATGATAAATAACTTCTCATTTTAAATAAATTGTAAGTTTTGAAAATATGACTTTTATTATTTATGCATTCATTATTCTACTTCCTTGAAGAATAACTTAAATATTCATATTTTTAATTTATTTAATATCATTGGTAAGTTTTTTTTTTTTTTTTTTTTTTTTTTTAAATAAATATTTTACACTTTTTTTTGATATTTTAATTGAGCTGCCGGATCAAAGAAGGGCACATAACTAATGTAATACAAATGGGTTATGTACCCTTCTTTGATCCGACAGCTCAATTGTAATGAAAACAAATCTAATGAATTATATATTAGAATGCTAATAAATATTGGTCGATTAATTCATTATTAAATTTTAATAATTGTTTTTTGTTTTCGTTTTTTTTTCTTTAAAGAAAAAATAAACAATTTATCTAATTAATAGTTAAGTATTATTTTCAATATACCTTATTAAAATCTGCAAGTTCGGCAATTTCTTCCCAAAGTGAAAGCATTATATGCAAATTTTCTTGATAACGATTATAATGAAATTCTCCTTTTCCTTCAATAAGAGTCATTTTTAAAGCCATACATTCAAAATCATGTTGCTCCAATACTCCATTATTATCAATATCTGAAAAAAATGATAAAAAATACTCGATGAAATTTTATTGTATTTTTGTAAAGATTTTTTTTTTTTTTATTAATTATGTTTGAAATTTATTTTCGAGATTTAAAGTTTGATTCTTTTTATTTATAATGACTTGATTTTATTTTTGTATTCGCACTAATGACCGAGTTCTAATGTATCATTTGCCATTTGGCAGGTCATAACGACCACCTAATAAGGGCGTTTAATTATTTCGCCCTAAAATTCCAATATTTTTTATAGAACAAAATAAAAAAAAAATCATTCCAACTTTTAATTTTTTATTCACAAATATCTTTACTAAGTCAATGAAAATAGTAAATTAATTCAAAAATTAATCATTCTTTTTTTCGCAGTATAATTATAATTATATAAATTAATAAATAATAATTAAATAAATAATTATTAAATTTTAATTAACTCATAATTACTAAATAATAAATAATTAATGACTTTAATTGACTACTAAATGTTAAATTACAAATATAAATACTAACCGTAAAGAAATTTGACTATAAAATTAACTCGATTATCCCAACTGTAGGCCATTTTTTAAATTTTCTTTCGACCAATAATATCCGGTATCCTTTAAAACAATATGTTCCTTCCTTTTGTTAAATAAGTCTTTCTTGAGCAATTAAGTGCCTCAGTTTATATTGAAATTTTTTATAGCAAAATTCACTTTTTTTCACTTTAGATAAAAATACTTAAAATTTTTAATTGTTATTCAAAATTTCTTTTTTTGGTTACTTCATAACAAAAATGAATCAACGTGCAAAGAACAAATTTATACTGATCTCGAGTAGAGTTGTCGGAGTCTGCTAAGATTAGAATCTGAACGAAGAAGGGTTTGGTATGAGTAAACTGCGAGGGATTATACCTCGTGTTTTTATCTGAAGAAGCTGAAAAAAAATTTTTATTATCATTTTTTCTTAATAAAAAAAAAAAATTAAAATAACACAATAATAATAAAATTAAATAAAACTTAATAAATATTTATTTAAAATAAAATACTTAACTGGAATATTAAAAAGAAAAATAACATTTAATTTAAAATAAATGTTCACAAATATTTCACTTTCACTTTTTCTCCAAATATTTGAAATTCAATGAAAATTATTATAAAAATAATAATAAATGAAAGTAAAGAAAAATGTTGGAAAGGAAACTTAAAAAATTGGAAGTGGATACGCGGAACGTCTGCCACGTCCTTGTAAATAATTTCGACATGACCTCGACATCGAGCACCAATCTGTTGTTTCGCTAAATTCTAAATTCATCAGTTTAAATCAACAGTATCTGCATTGTCTTTCACATATTAAAGGGAAAACGCGTGCGCCAAGGTATTTTCGTAAACGTGCTTTAACCGACGAAGGACATACAACTGTTGTTACCTTCAAAATTGCAATAAATGACAATAATGAACGTTAATCAATTCAAACTAAATTATTTCATTGTCAATCATTGTAAAAACAATTCATAAACTAGTTTTAAAAATAATTTCTTTAAGTGTGTTACTAATACAAATAAAAAAATATTCAGAAAACAGATAATAAAGGAAAAAATTTGTTCAACCTATAATAAACCCATACGTAGTTTTAATAATATTTTTACATTTTGAATAAATAAAAAAATTATTCAAGTTATTTTTTTCAAATATTTTCCAAAATTACAAGTTGTTTATAATAAACATTCGATAAAAACAAAGGTTAATAAAAATTTAGGTTAGGAAAGCACTCACCAATACTAAATCCATTTTCATAATTCAAAATGTAAATAATTTAAGTAAGATGGCAAGAAATATGTAGAATAAAACTTTATTTATCACCAGAAATAATTCACTTTTAAAAAAACTTGATAAAATATATAAAATAATGATACTTTTAAAGAGAAAATTCGGCAAAAAATAACCGTCAACAATGAGGCAATGAAACTTGTGCTCGCGCGCTCAACCGGAAGTAAAGCCATCCGATTTTGGCGCGCACTTAAATTAAGGTTAGATCGCAAAATTGAAAAATTAATCTGTAAATTATATTTTTTGTCTACAAAATTGACTACTGACATTCGATTTTATTTAAAAAAAAAAAAAAATATTGCCGAAAAAGTAGAAATTGCTTATCAAAACCCAAAAAAAGGGAATATACTATTTTCTCTTATTTATAAAGAAATATTTACAAATTATATGCACAAAATGATGTTTATCAACGCTAATTTATAAAAACTTTAAGATATTTGTAAATCTATTAATTTTTAATCTAAAAATTGTAAAAAACTAAAAGTAAAAACTAAAAACACGTCTGACTTCTTTTGTCCATTAGATCGGAACTGACGTCATTTGCGATTATGACCACTAGCCTTATTTTGATTGGTTACAAATTTTTAGTACTTTGTTTTGATTGGCGGGTAATATTACCCTGGAAATATTACCAACCAATAAAAAAGCAATTCACATCTCCAGTAAATCTAGTAACTTTTTATATCGATACAATCGAATATCGATTTTTTTTAGTAATAAAAAAATGGCAGTGCAAGGCGTACAAGGAAATTGAGAATTTTCGTTTTTAACGTCTGATTTTCAATTTTTGACGCTTGTGTAAAATCAAAATTATACACAAATTTTTAGACGCGTTCTTCTTGCAGGCCAGGAAATAGTAAAAGGCAGGTATATCTTGTTGATGTTAAAATCATTTTCGGTATGTCAGAAAGTGAAATCGTAGCTCATCAACGGAAACAACAGCAGCAGCAATTTCCACAGCAACCTGGGACTGGTCCTATGGCGAACATGGCGTGGCAGCAGTATCCTCCAGATATGCATTTTTATTCTCCTTACGCAGGGTAAGTTTGATTTTATTTGAGATTTTTTATTACGTTTAAAAAAAATTAATTATTCATTTCATTGTATTCGAGTCGTTTTTGACAAATATGTCTAATTATAGACAAGCGATTTTTATGACGCTATCCGAATTAAATTATTCAATCAAGTTTTGAATTATATATTAATTATAAATTCTTATAAAGGCTTTAAAGTTTTGTTTACATATAATTTGTTTTGCTGTCAAAAATAGATATTAGAGTTATACCTGTTATATTTGCAATTTCGGAGCCCTTTGTCCACCATTTTGTAAGGTTTCATATGTTAGATGTATTCAAAATTTTCTATAGAATTGAATAAAATTTTCAAATTAGAAGTTTGTAAATAATATTCTTTTTTGATATTTAAATGTCAATATTGACATTATTTATTTTGGAATATAATTTTATATTACGAAACATTCTATTAATTATGGCGCAATAGTATATAGCTCTTCCTAATTTTGGAATATTCTATTTTTGTTTGAAACACTGTAAAGTCAATATTAGAATTAGTGTATTTTATTCATTACTATTTTTATCGATTTTAATAATGAATTTATTTATTGGATTAAAGATTTACTTCATTAAATTTAATTTATTTTCAAGGCTCAAATATTTGTGTAATATTAAAATTTTCTCGAATTTTTTTTTAACTATTACGTTTACTTTTATTATTATTATTATTATTATTTTAATTCGTTATGAAGTGATTAAAATTTTTGATTTTTAATTGGAAAGGAATTAATTGAGGATAATTATTTTTAGACCAATGTATGGACAAGGGTTTAATCAAGGACAACCGTTTTATTATCATCCGGGAAAGATGGGACCTTATGGACAAGGTTTTAATCATATGCAACAACAGCAGCAGCAGCAAATTCCACAAAGTCCGAATAATCAAGGAAAGCAGCAGAATCAACAGTCCCCACAGCAGCAGCAGCAGCAACAACAACAACAACAGCAGCAGCAGCAAGTCCAACAGCAACAACAGACTCAACAACAAACAGAATCGCAAACCCCTGTTGCTAATCTCTTAGACGATGATTCCGATCTTCCACCTCTTCCCCCAGGACCCCCACCACCCGTTCAATCAAATAAACCACCTCAGAATACACAAAATCAATCGCAAATTTATCAACATCAACCTTATTATAATATGTACGGGCATAATAATTGGAATGGAATGTATAACGATGCTTCGCGTAAGTATTTTTTTTTTTAAATGTTTAAAATTTATATATAATATTTGAAAAAATATTTGAAAATTTGTCTTTTATTTTACAGAATTTAATGGTCAAATTCGCTTTAACCTACAGAATAAAAAAACCGGTCTCGGTTTTTCTCCCTCTGGTAATAGCGGTGCAGCCAAGAAAAAACGCAAGCGAAATAAAAATCTCGCGGCACAAAATAATACTAATTTTCAGGGGAATAATACTTCGTCAAATTTTCTTTCGGGTTCGAATTTAAAAGTTGATGTACCCCCCTTACCACCACAGCCCCCACAACAAGATCCACCCGCATTACCCATTAAAGAAGAAAAATTATCACCCACCACCACCACAACCACTGTAATTAGTCCCATAACACCAGGTGCAATTGTTCCAATAATTGACGCGAAACCATCAATAAATACAAATATTGCTGGTGATTGGCCGGAAAATTTGAAAAATTACGTTAATCGTTGTTATGAAAAATGTCAAACCGCAGTCGATAAGGATCAAGTTGAAATAATATTAAAAGGAAAAATAACAAGGGCGGCTAACGATGGATCATTATGGGTAAAGGATTGGGATAATGAAATTCTACCTAGTATTCATAGTGAACGTATGACCATGACAATAAAACCTCGTAATACACCTATGAAGCATGGTTTCACGCTTGCACAAACGCAGGGAGGCTTGCGCAAGCCAGGACTATCAACGTCCCTTGGTGCAAGGCTTGGCGCTCGTCTCTCTGCCGGTCACAAGCGATCAAAATCAAAATCAAATTCTGGGTCACGTTCGAGGTCAAGATCAAGGTCACGTTCACATTCCCGTACACCGCCACCACGAAAATATAGACGCAGTACATCCTCATCATCAAATCAAAGTGAACACAATAATGATTATAATAAATCATCATCAACAATGACAAATTCAACGTCAAAATCAAAAAAATCAACGCGTAATAAACAAAATCATAGTAACAAGAAAAACAAGAAAAATAAACAGGTCAAATCACATTTCTATTCTGAATTTGGTTTAGCATCGGGTAATGATGAATTAGGATCAAAGGAAAAACTTCAACAACGTGCGGCAAGATTTAATGATTCTTGTAAATCGGCTAATATTAGTATTCGGGAAGATGTCAATGGGGATTTTGACTTCACAGGTCTTCATATTATCGGGACATGTCAAGATCTCGAGAAACCGTATCTGCGCTTGACTTCAGTAAGTTTTTTTTTTCTTAAAATTATCAATAAAAATTAGTTAATTATTTATTTAATTTATTGAAACTTTTTTTCAGGCTCCAGCTGCCTCTTCAGTGCGACCGGTAAGTGTATTAAAAAATTCTCTGGCTCACGTTAAAAAACGATGGTTGGAGGGTCAAGATTATCGTTATGCGTGCGATCAACTTAAATCAATTCGACAAGATTTAACAGTACAAGGAATTCGTGATTCTTTCACTGTTCATGTTTATGAAACACATGCGAGAGTCGCACTCGAACGTGGTGATCATGAAGAATTTAATCAATGTCAAACACAATTAAGAATGTTGTATCAAGATCTCGAGGGCAAAAATCGTTGTGAATTCATTGCTTATAGGATCCTCTACTACATTTTCACTAAAAATTCTCAAGGTAAAAAATTTATTGAATTTCTTTTGCCAAATCAAAATTTAAATTTTTATAATTTTAATATCTCAATATTTTTGGAAATTATTCCTTTTTTAAATTTTGATATTTAGAAAATTAGTTTAATATTATGTTAATGTGATATTAAAATTTTTGAATTGTAAAATTGAAATTTATTGATATGTTAATGAAATGTAATTTATTAATTGTAGGTATTGTTTTTTTTTTCTGTTGCAGATTTAACTACGATACTCGCGTCACTTACCGCTGATGATAAAAAAGACAAGTGTATTTTGCACGCATTGCAAGTTCGTTCCGCTTGGTCACTCGGTAATTTCCATAGTTTTTTCAAACTCTATAGGGAAGCGCCACGAATGGCAGCATTCCTGATGGATTGGTTCATCGCTAGGGAGCGAAAGCTAGCTTTAAAAACAATGATCAAGACGTACGTATTTATTTAATATTCTTATTGTCCCCGATACATAATAATAATTTAAAAAATGGTCCCGAAAGAAAAGAAGGTTTATTTTGCTTCAATTTTTATATTAATTTTATTTTACATAGTTTCCATTTTTTATATTACAAATTTTGATAAACATCAATTTTTTTTTTTTTAAAGTAAATATTGTGTTTTTTGTATTTGTTTTTTTGGCATATAGTTTTTTTTATCGATTGTGTTTCAAATGTTCTGCTAAGTGGAAAATGCTTCTTTCTGTTTTTTTTTTTTTTTTTTTTTTTATTAGTAGTTTTGTCTGATTTTGTTTTGTGATTTTGCTGTGATTGATTAAATTGTGCGATTGAAAGAAGAGGTTTTTAAAAGGCTTTTTTTAAAATTAGAGATTTTTCTAGTTGATAAAAAAAACTAATTCAGAGAATTAATTAATTTCTGCTAGTTTATTATTTTAAAGAAGTAATTGTTAATGAAAATAGAAATTATTTATAAATTAAATTATAGATTCTTTAAAACAAAAGAGAAATTAAGTGCAATATTGATTCTAGTTTATTAATTCCAAAAAATGTCAAATGAAAAGGCAGCTTTGTTTTTTTTACATTTTTTTTTAAATACGTATATATTTTTTAAAAAGAGCTTTCTTACTAAAATCTTAACATTTTAAGTCTACTAACTCACTAATTTAACCTAGTATTTAATTAGTAATTAAAATAATTTCAATAATTTCAGTTATTTAAAGTATTTTATAAATTACTAAAAATATATATATATTTTTTTTGTAGAATATTTTATGTTTGAATTTAATTAGTCAATTTAACAAATTAACATTCTGGAATTGAATTTTTTTTTTTGGGAGAAAGCAAAATATAAACCCTAACTAGATTTTTGTTTCAGGATATTGAAGCTGCATAATATTAATTATATTTTAATAATGAATTTAAAAAAAAATCCCTTTTTTTTAATTTCGCTCATAACTGATTGTTATCTAATCCATTTATTTCTTCTGATGTTTAGTTACCGGCAAAATTTGGCAGTTGATTTCATCGTAGCGGAATTGGCATTTGAAACGTTGGACAAGTTTTATGAATTTGTCTCTGAGTTCGGGTTGATTTATGCTGATCCACAGAAAATGCAAATCGACTGCAAGGCGAGTAGTGGTACACTAGGTTCTTGGTAGAACGTCGTCAACAAAAAAAAAAATTTCCCCTCATTCTTCACGAGGGATTTGCAAATAAAGAGGACATTTTCAAAAAAAAAATAGCGCGTCAAACACACGGATTAGTGTGTCAGAATACGCGTGAATCAGTTATTTGGAAGAGGATTTGTGGTCGATATCCCTCAACCCTTTTTAAAAATTCTTTTGAACCATGCGTACTTTTCCAAATGTCCGATTCGTCATTGTATAAAGTTATATATATACAAATTTTCACAACTTTAGACGTGGAAAAAATAAGTACAAATATCGATTAAATATGTACATTTTCAACTCTTCTTTTTTTTGAGAGAAAAAAGAGAAAAAGAGAGATGCAAGCGTCTCTAATCTCCTCCAATTTGTTATTATTGATTTTTTTCAAATCATCATACTTTTCTTGGCAAGACATACACATTTTGTACATATAATTTTTTACAAGTATGTACGCTGCATTGTATATAGAAATCATCTTTATATCTCATCGATTTAAATTATATTGAATTTTTATTGTATATTTAATAATGTTTCATCAGTACAAAGTCACCAACAGAGTACTTGAATCTTCTTCGAAACAATCCGCTTTATTCCTCAATCGTTTATATATATATATATATACAATCATCATAAATCATCATCGTGTCGTCATTTCTTATAATATAAAAATTCTTTTGCTTGGTGGAAAAAGAAAATCAAATTTTTATTGATTTTTCAAGTAAAATCTTTTTATCTTCACTTTGAAATTACATCGAACGAGAGAAAGAAAGAGAGCGAGCGAGAGAGCGAAAGAAAGATAGAATGTAAAATTCAATGTTCATCAGTTTCCTAGGAGGGAAGGAGTAGAAGAACACCAATTTGTCAAATTTTTTTGAAAAAAAAATAAAATTCCAAGTTTCGTGCCAAGGGGGAAAAAAAAATCTACCACGAGAATTGGTCGAATAGTTGAAAATTGAAGCCCTTCTGAATTAAATATTTTACTTTTGGATTTCGAATTTTTATCAATAAGGAAGAATGAAGATTGATTTGAGGGATTGAAGAAGAAGTGAAAGAAGAGTAAGGACTTTTAAAAGACATTGTTTTTTTTTGTGTCAAGTGTGATACCTTTTCGAAAGTGTTGAAAAAAAAGAAACTCTAGTGAAAAGGCAGTTTTTTTTTGAAAAATTTTGTTTATGAGAAAATGCAACTATATTGTTTTCAGGATCAACAGTTGGATGTCGTTGTACGATGGAAGGCTCATATATACATATATATATATAATAAATTAAATCTTTTTTCAGTAAAATTGTGTTCTCTTAATTGTTATTCTTAGTTTTAAAAAAAATTGTTACGCTCTTTTTTTTAAAATGAAACAATGTTTTTTTTTTGTATAATTTTCATTATTACAGAAAGTTCTAATGTAATATGTATAATATATTTATATATATATATATTAATAGCTAACGTAATACAATAATTATTAAAATATTAAATAAAAAATTATAACAATATAGTGAAATATAGTTCCTGTAGAGGAGTGGCTGTGAGAATTGATTATACAGAAAGTGATACGAAGCTGTTGTACTGAGTGATGTTGCGTTTTAAAATATCCGCACAAGGACCCAAAACCCTTTCGAATCGTGCTCTGTCCAATTTAACGCATTTTAAAGGTCCTCGGGCAACGACTGTCGCCGCTCTTGGCCTGTCTAGCAATAATGCTATTTCGCCTGATAGAAGAAAAAATAAATAATTTGCAAAAAATTCAAAAAAAATTACCAATTTTTTTTTTTTTTTGTCAATGAATTAGAAATGTTATAGATTTAAATTTTTTTCATTTAAATCGTATGAGACAAATTTGAATATATTTACCGAAATAATCTGAGGGTCCTAGTCGACCAACTTCAGCAGATTCTTCACCTTCTGAACGCTGTTGAAGAACCACAGCCGTACCATCTACAATGATGTAAAAATCCTCACCGGGTTCACCTTGCCGTACTATCGTTTCTCCATCTTCAAATGTTACTGGCTCCAAAGCATCCGCTACTGTTAATCTTTCCCACTTGTCAAGAGATTCTATAAAAAAAAATAATTTTACATTAAATAAGAAATAATTAAATTAATATCCTTCAAAAGAAAATAATTTAATACAAAACTATAATTTTGAATGGAAATTATTTCAATTCTTTAAAAAAAAAAAGTTTTAATTTAGATTATAAATTTTTTAAACCATTATAGTTTTATTCAAAAATTACTGTCGGTAATTAGTAAAACGTAAGCAAAAATACAATTACCTAAAATGGAAACTCTTGAGAGAAATTCTTCGTACAATTTCCGTTTTCTAATTGTCGAGCCCATTAGAATTCTACGATACGAATCCCTATCGATTCCCCAAAGTTTAACATCAGTTTTTGCTCTAACAGTCGCTGCTCTTGGTGTTCCATAAATCAGAGCCAATTCACCAAAACTTCCGCCCTCACCAATAGTCGTTACCAATTCGCCATTCACGAAAACTTCCACTTCACCTTGATCTATTACATAGAAATTGTCGCCTTCATCTCCTGCAAAATTTAATTAATTATTTAAATTTATTTAATTATTATTAATTAATTATTTTATTAATATTTAGACAAAAAAATGAATAAATATCAAATTATAAAATAATAAATATTATAGAAAAATTTGTTAAAAATAATTAAAAATTATAATTAATTAATTTTTGTAAATTTAAAAGAAAATTTGTTTATAATTTACCTTGACGAATAATTGTTTCTTTTGGTGAGAATAAAACAGGAAACATTGCATCGAAAATATCGGAACGTTCTTTTTCATCGAGATGAGCGAATAATACATTTTTTGCTATTGCCTTGCTTAAAGCATTCATGGTTTTATAATCTTTAGGCACTACTTTTTTCACATAGCTCGTGGCATCCTCTTCAGAAACTGGTTCAGCGGAAATTCCTCCTCTTCTTCTTGGTACCTGAGGACCTTGTTGACCCGCCGGCATATCCTCTGTGTCTTCTGGACTCGTGGCAATTTGCTGCTTTGCATCGTGAGCTTGTTCCTACAAAAAAAAAAACAATATAAAAAAATAAATTAATTTAAATTCTAATTTTTAATTAAGAAATTAAAATTTGAAAATTAGTAAATTCACAATTTCTTTTTAATATTAACTTAAATTATTAATTATGTGGGAAAACTCGAGAAGCGAGTTATTAAGAATTTATTTTTCTCATGTCAAAGTTTAAGTACATAAGAGTGTGCCCTTTTCTCATTACATCTTAATGATGCATAACAGAGAAAGAGAGAGAGAGAGCTACTGAAATATTGATCTTACAGTGACCTTAAAAAAAAGGAGGAGTCATGTGCCAAATTGTAAAAAATTTATTAAAAACTTCACACGAAAAAAAAATGAAAATTAATCAATTTTTTTTTCATTCTTTAGTTATAAAAATAAATCTTTAAGAACAATGTTAAAAAGTTTAGAAAAATATTAATTTAAAATAAATTGTTAATCCTACAAATATTAATAAACAGTTAAATTTCATTTTTTTACAATTTTCAAAAAGTAATGTAGCAATTTAAAACTATTAAAAATATTTCACTTTTAATTTATTAAATTCTATTTTATTTATTTATATTAATTTTTAATCGAATTTATTTTTTTCAATTAAATTAAATTTTATTATTTTAGATTTGAATTGTAAAAATACGAATTACATTTAAGGGATTTTTAAAAATTTTTTAAATGTTTCATAATAATTAACGGTCACTCTTAAAGTTCACTAGATTTAAAAAAAATAACTTCACTCAGTAATTTTCAATTGCGCGTAAAATATATAAAATCAGAAAATATTGAACATAAATAAAAAAAATAAAATAAAAAAATGACGGAGAAAAAAAATAAAAAAATTACAAAAATAATTAAATAGTTGATAATTTTTTAATTTATCGATACTTTTATAATTTGATCGTACTCTGTGTTCGCCAACCATTTTTCAAGTTGTCGCAGAACGTTTTGATATGCGATATGAAAACCGACTCGGAGAGTATTACTTGATTATAAGGGATGTTTCTCGCGCAGATTCCCCGCTTCTGACGTCATCTGCGTATAGATATATTTTCAACCCTCTATATATTTTTGTATATATATAACTATAGATAAGACCATTAAATTGGGAGTTTGATAACATAAAAAAAAAAGGAAAAAAAATATTTCTCATGATCAATTCACTGGATTATCCTTTTCTTCTCACCCCTCGTCTTTTTTTTTATTTTTCCTACCAGCGTTTGATTTCACCCTCATCTTTAATAAAACCTTCTTCTTTTATTTTTGATAAGAAACTTTTATATGAATCACTAAATAATGACATGAATTTAAATTACCCCAAGAAAGTAGGATAAACTAGTAAATTTCTTATTTACATGCGATATTATCTGCTGTAAAAAAATTTATTATTTTTAGAATTTGCAACTTCATGAGAAAAGTATTTTTAATTTTCAAAAAGTTTTACTTCGAAAATAAAATAATAATTCTCTTTTTTGTGAGAAAATAATTAATAATGCTTTTTTACTCCCAAAAATAAGAATTTTCTTTCTTTATTTCAAACTATCACCTTTAAAAATAATATTTCGAGATAAAATTGAGAAAAACTATTTCACGTGGGCGAGTGAAATGAACCCTGAACTAACGAAAAGTTTCTTTCAACTTCTTTATTTTTTGCAATAATTGCATTTATTTTTTTCTTCAAACTACAAATTTTAATTTCAAATAAAATTTTACTAAATTTTTTTTTAGTTACCCTATTTTTATGTAAATATTTAATTATTTGAATAAAATTTGCAATGTAAATAATATTAAAAATTCCAAAGCTATGCAACAATAAATTGAGCGATTAAATTCAGAAACGTTTAAAAAAAAAAAAAATATTACAGGAATAGTAAAAAAAAAAAAAGAAATTTAAACCATTGCGTGTTCACTTATGCAAAATTGTACTACACTTTGACTTTTATATATATATAAAAATAAACAACCTTGAAAAATGCCGATCTTCCAAATTGCTCCAAAGTGTATAAAAACTATAAATAAATTTACAAACACTAAATCAACTCTAATTCTGCAATTTGCTTGTGATTTCAGGCAACAAGTATAATTACCGAATTAATTTTCCTTTCTCCGCTTTTGCTTTTAATTCAAAATCAGAGCACAGTGACGTTATGTAGATTAAACACTCGTATAAACCGAAGGTGAAGGTCAAAATTTTCTTGTAACGAACAGATTTAAAGAAAATTAAATATCAAATCAACGCGAATTAACAAGTTATATCAAAATATGTAAATGAAAAAAAAAATTATTTTCAAATGAGAAATGTAAATTTTGTGAAAAAAAATTAAATTTTATAAATATTTATTGACTTCGGAAACTGAGAGAGAACTAATATTGACAAATGATATGTAAGTTGCAATTGATCGGAGGTGTGAATCGCTTGTCGCTTCAAAAACCAATTTCCGTAGCAATTTCCCCTTTTCTAAAGAAGATTTAGAACTTTATAGATTAAACATTAACAAGAAATATGATTTTCAACTAGATTTTTTTATAAAAAATATAAAAATAAAAGGAAATTAAATTTTTCAATAAAATTGAAAAATATTTAAATAAAAAAATATGTTATTGATTCAGAAAAATCTGTTTTGTTTAAACTGTTATATCCATCACGTTTAATGACTAATAATCCGCTGACATCGATCCACAACTAATACTTTAAAAGTGGTAATCAGTTTTAATTGCTACTATACACAAGGTTACTTTATACAAAAATCTCTTCTTTTCACATTAAAATGTTAATTTCAAAATGTAATATTGATGTATTTTTAAATTCTGAAAAAAAAAATATTTTAAATTAATAAAATATTAAAAATTTTCAATTATAACAAAGAAAAAAAATATATTTATTGATAAATTGTTTTTTTTTAATTAAAAAATTTAAATTTAATTACTATATCTACTTATATAGAAATTGAATTTCATTACGAGTCAGAGAACTTTGTCATGTGGGTGGAAAACGGAAAATCAATACTAAATATTTCAAGGATTTCCGTAGGACAAAAGAACGTAAATATTTTATACACACCAATTTATTCAATAAAATAAGAATTTAAAAAAAAAATTGTTTTCTTCTATTTCAAAATTAATCAAATATTCCATCAATAAATTTCTTGATTCATGTTTATAAATTCATACAATACGTTTTGAAATTTTTTATTTGAAAGAGTTAAAAAAAAAAAACAATTTAATCAAATTTTTTTGAAATAATTCATTCATTTATATTTAAATATATATCTAAACATAATTGGTAAGTCAATAAGTTTTTTTTGCATAATAGTAAGCATTTAATTAAACGAAATTAAAACTACGCAATTCAATTAAAAAAGTTTCAACTCATCAACAGGTTAATATGATTTGGAAGAACATTGAAACTTGCAGAATATTTTATTGAATTGAAAAATTGTTTGAAATCTATTTATCTACATTAAAAAAAAAAAAGCCTACATTTTTAATTTTCCTGAGCAAATAAAAAATTTTTCTAATAATAAATGCTCCAGAGACCTTTAGAATTTTCTTGAAAGTTCAAAAAAGGTGAAAGATAATTTTTTAAAAAAAGATAAGTATAAAAAATTATATTATATAAAAAAAAACAATTTAAAAAAAAAAAATATTTTATGCGTGAAACTTGACGTAGTTCCGAGATAAAAATAAACTGAATTCCTTTGGAATTTGTTAAATATATATAAAAAAAATATATATATACATATAAACTGTTTTTATTTAAAGGATCACGTGAGAGATTGCTTGTGAAAATGTTTAAAAATAGTTTTCTACATTTTTCATATATTAGAAACCAAAAGGCCAGTCAACTCTAATATAAAATTGTAATATTAATCTTTAATGAAATCTAACAAATTTTATCCATTAAAAAATCTATTCTTTCAAGTGAAAATTAAAATTCCAAAAAAATAAAAATAGAAAACACTTAAAAAATTCAAAAATTTGTTCAAAAGAAAAAATAGAAAAAAATCTAAGCGCTAAAACAACACTGAAAAATTCGAAATTTTAAAGAAACAAAAAATTTCAAAGTCGATGGAAACAAAAATCACTTTGAAAATAAAAATAAAAAAAAAAAAAAAAAACAATGTCGAAAGCAAATAAAATAAAACACTCACAAAAAAGAAAAACTTGTAACTCTCAAGATCACTTTCGTACCTCGTCCATTATATTCGATACCCTTTTTAAAAAAAAAACCCACGTATTTATAATCGGTAACTTATAATCAATGATTATATGTGTCTTATTCGAATTCAATTCTGTGTATGTCTCTCTGTCTCAGAACAAAACACGGTCAGTGCGGGAAAAACGAGTCAGCGGTCCCGCTTATGGCAATGCGCTCGCGCGCGACATAAAACTACTACGTTCTTCTTCTTCTTCTCTCTCTCGGATTCGTTCTCATTTATAGAGAAACATTTTTTTTTATAAGGTCTCTCACCAAATCAGATTAAATGAAGAAGACGATCGTGCGTCTATTGGATCGATAAATGTTTCAAACGAAACCAATTTCTTTGAAAAAAAAAAAAAAAATAATCACAAACATTATAGTTCTTTGAAATGATTTTAAAATTAAAAGATTCGAATGATTTATTTTGTTTTTCTCTCTCATTGGAAAATAACAAAATTTTTCGATGATTTTTTTTACTTCTAGCGATCATGGTTTATAATAATAATAATACTTCAGTTAGTTTCCATCTTTCTAATCGGTTAAGGTGCTCCACATTATATTTTGAGAATAATCTATCTTTAGAACAGAAGCACCTATCCCCCCCCTTGTCTCATCTTCATGAATATCTAAGATATATTTATGACCTCGCAATAACGCATACGCGTTTATTTTATATCAATGGAGGAACACTTGAGAGAACACACCCAATCGCACACATACAAACATTCAGATGATTACCCTCGATTCTAAGCTTCGTGACATTTTTCCGTCATAAACGCATAACACGCGAGTCTATATTTTATGATGAAGATCGATTGCAAACGCTAAAGAATCAAAGTTAAAGCGATATATTCAAAAAGAGGATGATAATCTTTTTCACACCACGTGATCACGATCAAAGAAGACTAAATTTATTAATCTGTCAATTTTCCTTGATTTTTATCTAGAATTAAAAAATTATTTTTATATGAATCAGATTCTTAATATAAAATAATTATTCACAGGGTACTTATAAGAATTTTTATAACGTTAAATTCCAAATTATTATTTAATTTTTTATAAAGTTTTTAATATCAAACAAATTTTTAAATAGATTCTTTAATTCATCGAATAAATACAATTTCTATTTATGTAACAGATTTAAAATTCAATAAATAGAAATTCTGATAGTTGAAAATTTTTCTAAATATAAAAATTCTGTTAAACTGAAAATTCAGTTCAATATAAACTCTACTTTATAAAATTTATACTACAAATAGAAAACTCGATAATTTCGATTTTGACGTCACAAAAATTCTCATAAGTTTCATGTATATCGATAATATTAATAATTATAATAATTGTCTCAATTTTATTTTAACTTTTTCCAATATGTAAATTATGAAAAAATAAAGAAAAAAAAACATAAAAATTAGAGATAATTCAGAAAAATTAAAACAGTTAATAAAAATTAAGGAAAAAATAAAAAAAAAAATTACACAGATGGATAAAAATATCAATTCTCTAAGTCAAGGTGTTAAATTTAAATAAATTAATATTTAACAGTGTGAATCAAATTTTTAAATTTCTTTAAAAAATTAATATCAATGAAAATTTGATTAAAAAAAAATTGTTAAATATTTAATGAAAATAAGGCTGTTTTTTTCAACTCTTATTTCTTAAAATATCAATAATGATTTTAAAAAAATAACTTTCAGCGCCATCTTCTACTTACTGTTCTAGATTCTAGACCCTAATCTGTTTTATCCAAATTTTGATTATATTAGAAATAGATAAATATTTTCGAAATTTTCTTCCATAAAATTTATCAATAAAAATTGTCTTAAATATTGATTTTCAACTAATTCTTTTTAAAAAAAACAAACTGAAAATTACAACTCTCTCTCTTCGATTTTACAATCATCTTTGTTACATTAACACAAAAAATCTATAAAATCTAATTTCTAATTCTCAAGGTAAAAATATCTCTTCAAGTGAATTATTAATTAAAAATCTAAAATTAGAGATACAATCAATCATATAATATATGTGTTAATTGTATAATAAATAAATTTATATAATAATAAACTGTTGACCTTCTAATGATATATATATATATATATATATATATACATATACACGAAAAAAAAAAATTAACTTCAGTCGTCTTTAAATGACATTCAATTTTATCCTAAATTAATGATTAATAAAACATAATTGAATAAGATGAAAATGACTCTTCATTGACGCAAAGTGTATAATAGTAAAATTGTTTACATACCCTTTCGAGTCTTTGAAAATATTCCCGTAAAAATGAAATTGGATTTTCAGGCTTGCCGACGCATAATTGTACAATACAATCTTTCAGAACCTGCTGAATATTATGTCTCTGCACATAATCCTCGCACTCACGTAAACTTTGCTCTTCCTCTAGATTCGCCGCCATGTTGTTATATCAGAAAAAAAAAATCCAACTCCAGGTCTCGATTCGCAGCACTGTTGTTGTCTTTCTATCTAATGAAATTTGTGATCTAACAAAAATAATTTTTAAATGAATAATAACGTTCTAATTTTATAAATTTTCATATACTTTAATACCATTGCAAATTAAATAAATTATTCTTTATATTATATATATATATGACGTGCGTTAAAACACTGTTAACATACTACGCTTTCAATATAGTAACCAAACACTTTGACACATGTATCATACACGTATATATGTCAAATAAATATTATATGTCAGTGAATAACACGTGAGTTTCTGACCTAACTTGTAAAACACTTACTCCAAATAGAAAGAATTGTTACTTATTCAGAGGTTGCGAAACCCTGTATTGGAAATTTTTCCGAAACTTCTTAAATTACCGCATAATCATTTTTCTGATAGTCACATTTTCCAAACGAATTTAATTAATTGAATAAAAAGAATAATTTTAAAAATTACTTACCAAAAAAGCATGTTTATGATATCCGATTAAACGTCAATATCCAATTTTATCATCAAATATTAAAAGTATTTCATATCCCATATGCACGCACACTTTTTTCCTTAATTTTCTTCATAATTGTTTAAATTTTAATTAAAACTTTTATAACACCTTTGACAAAAGAACAACAGACGACCGATCAACTGTCATACTTAAAAATTTCTAGGTTATGTTCGCAACATGTTTTTTGATTCGTTAACAGAAAATGTTCCAACCAATGAAATCATTATATTCAGGGTTGGAAAGGTAAGTGTTATTTTTTTTTTAGTACAACATACCGACCCCTGGAATGATCCATCAAGGGGCCATTAAATGCATTATATATGATTATAATATATTTTATCCTGCTGCGCTCGGTGCGCCGATCGGATAATAATCAACGCGAATTCCTGGCTAATTGCAAATAGTCGGATTTATTTTTTTCCCCCAATTGCTCAGTGTTTAAAAACTCAAAGTCAAATTGTGTTGTTCGCCTCTTTAAAGATTTGTAAATCGATAACCACTTGTTGAACATACCTGCGTTCCAGGAAGCATCCTCATTTTCAATAGGTAACTATATAATTTATCACAGCTTTTTAACTGATTGTTAAAAAATTTACACAACAATCTACTATGTCAATTTTTATATAATTTTAATTACACCTCTAATTTCATCTCTTATATGTATCATATGTTTTTGATGGTTTTTTTTTTATGTGAACAGGAGTGCATACTAATGTCCTACTTTTGTCATTTAAATGCCCTCGAAATAAGTTCATACCCTTTTTTTTGATATTTTTTTTTTTATTCGGTTTGGAATTAATTATATGTAAATATAATGGACACATATGTAAAATTGATGACACATAATGAGATACAGTTATTTTGTGAATATAAATTGTGAAAAATTTTTTAGTGTCAATGATTGGATGTTGGTGAAGTGGTGATGCAGGGCACGATGCCAGTGAAAACAAAGTCTCGTGTACCGGAAACAATGGGTGTTGCAGATGGACTTGTGGATGCTAGAGCAAAACAGGTGTTACGAGAAGCAGTAGACGCAGTTGTCAACAGTTTCGCTAAACACACACAGGGCTATGGAAGAGGTGATTGAACCCACAAAAAAAAAAAAAAAAAAAAAAAAATTCCAATGACAAAACTCGTTTTTTTTTCCTCTTATTAAATTAAATTTGCATATTTCAATATAAGTTGTATTTAAAATAGTAATTTATTATCAATAATTATTTAAATAAAAAATTTATTTTAAAAAAATTTTATATTAATTTACAGTTAATGTAGTAGAAGCTCTTCAGGAATTTTGGCAAATGAAACAAAGTAGAGGAACAGAATTACGAAATGGTGCACTTGTGATTTATGAATCTGTACCAGGAGCAAGTCCACCTTATGTGTGTTATGTAACACTTCCTGGTGGATCGTGTTTTGGTAGCTTTCAAAATTGTCCCACAAAAGCGGAAGCACGTCGATCAGCGGCAAAAATTGCATTAATGAATTCGGTATTTAATGAACATCCATCGCGAAAAATAACTGATGATTTCATTGAAAAAGCAGTAGCTGAAGCAAGAGCAAGTTTTGCTAAACCTTCAGCTGCAAATGGAATCAGTAATAAAATTCAGGTATTTTATAATTTTATTATTTTTTTTTTTTGCTATTTATTCGGTAATGTAATTTAAGAATTTTCAGAATAAGAGTGACGAGAAAGAAGATCCAAATACTGGAATTGGTGCTTTTCGTTTTATGCTCGAGTGTAATCGTGGACGAACAATGCTTGAATTTCAAGAATTAATGACTGTATTTCAATTGCTTCATTGGAATGGCTCATTGAAAGCAATGCGAGAAAGACAATGCAGCCGACAGGAAGTTGTTGCACATTACAGTCATAGGGCACTCGACGATGATATGAGAAGTCAAATGGCACTTGATTGGGTTGCAAGGGAACACGAAAGTGGAGGTGGTGTTGTTGCAATGGAATTATCACTTGCTGAACGTGAACTCGAGACAGCACGATTAGCAGGACGTGAACTTCGATTTCCAAAGGAAAAAAAGGATATATTAATGCTTGCCCACGCTCAGGTTTGCCCTCAATAATTTGCGAAATTCAAAAAAAAAAAAAAAATTCTAAATTAAAAACAGAAAATTTAATATTTTTTAAAGAGAAACAATTGACTGGACCATATTTTTTGTTCCATTTCTCGAATTAGTAATTTATAATTACAATTTTAGAATCAATTTAACAGAAAAAAATTATATTTATAAAAATTCTTTATCAATTTAGATTCAATCAATTTTTTTTAAAATAGATCTCCAACAAATTTAGAAATCAAATTGCTCAGGCATTATTATATTACGAGTGTTTACTTTCTCTCTTTCTATCAAAAATCAATTGAAAAATTAATATGTATATATATAATACGTGCAGGGCGCATAAATCTCATATCATTTGTTCGTAAGTTATATAATTGGCTTTCGTTTTATAGATTTGTATGAAATTGTTTTCTACGTTAATAGTTTTTAAGGAGAATAATGCATCTCATTAGGTGAAAATTATAAAAATTCGTATAATCATAAATACGAATTTGGAATATTATTTGGAAAAAAAACTAATATATAAGCGAAATTTTATTTTGTATGATGATACAATTTTTTTTTTTTTTCGCGAGCTAAGTCTGATTTTTGGGTTTTTTTTAAAGTCTACGCTATAGTAGATGTATGCTACAGTTGTGACTATTGTCATATGTTGTGATACATGATTAGCATTTATTTGATTATATACGGTCATTATTTCGCTAATTTTAAATTATAAGATGACACGTGTCTTCCTAAGCACCGTTTTGGTGAAATTTTTTTTTTTTTTTTTTATATATATTTTACAAGATTATCACTAAAGCATTAAAGTGCTTTTTTCTATTATTTAAGTGTTAAATTAATAAATAATCAAAATTTTTTAGACTGAAATATTTTTTTTTATCTAGGAAATGAAAATAACTTTTCAGCTTATCTGAAGATAAAATTTCTTTAGAACTGAAAAATTTTTTTATGGAAAAAATATGTTAGTCCCTAAATAATGATTTTGATATTGAATTGAAGGGACTCTAATGATTGAAGTACTTAATACAGAAATAATTATTATAGATGAAGTATACGCAAATTTTTTTTGTTTTTCAATGTTTTACTCTATATTTTATTTTATTTTTTTGCTAGAAATGTGAATTCCAGCGATATTATAGTTTAGTGAATTTGCTTGCATGATCAAAACTCGATGAGAGATGAGATATTTAGCTTGACTGCGATTTTAATAGTATTCATTTTATATAACGATGTTTATTTTCAATATTATTAATAAAAAAAAAAAAATTTACAATATATCACGAACAATTTCTTCCTTTTTTTGTAAATATAATATACATATTTATTTATATAAATAGAATCTTTCCTAGAGTATGTTGATATAGTTACGTGGTATTTGCTGCCGATTTTTCCAAGACTGGCGAATTTGATGTTTGTTCTGGAAGAGGACTTCCTGTTTCCGGAAGTGGATGTTTTAAAATATCATCGATTAAACCGAATTCTTTGGCCTCTGCTGGTGACATATATTTATCTCGCTCCATACTATTTTCTGCTCAACAATCAATTGCAATTTAGAAATTAAAAGAAACTAAAGATTTTAATAAATGGAAAAAAATTCTTAAAACATTTTTCACTCACGAATTGTAATTATATCAAGACCAGTGTGTCTCGCGTAAATTCCATTGAGTACGCCTTTTAATTTAATTATTTCCTCGGCTTGAATTTGAATGTCTGTTGCTTGTCCTCGAAAGCCTCCTGATGGTTGATGTATCATTATTCTTGCATTTGGAAGTGCATGTCTCATACCAGGAGTACCAGCAGCTAAAAGTAAACTTGCCATTGAACATGCTTGACCAACACACCATGTTGCCACAGGAGGAAGAACATATTGCATTGTATCGTAAATTCCAAGTCCAGCAGTTACTGCACCACCAGGTGAATTAATATACATATGAATTGGCTTTTTAGTACTGTCCGATTGAAGAAATAGTAATTGAGCAATAACTAATGATGACAAATCGTCTGTAATCTATTGGAAAATAGAAAATATTTTCCAAAAAAATTATTTAAAAAACTATTAGCGTAAAATTAATAATTTAAAAAGTTGTTCTGCCCCACATTTTTTTCAAATAATAAAATTAAAAACATACCGGTCCCATGAGACATATTATTCTTTCCTTCAGGAGACGGGAATAAATATCATAAGCACGTTCTCCACGTCCTGTTTGTTCAACAACCATTGGTATAAGATTCCTTGCATATACTTTTTGTACATTCTTTTTATATATGTAAAAAAAAAAAAGATTAGAAAATTTTTGGAAAAATTTCCTGCATGATAAATAATACTTACATTAAGTTTTATTAAATTAGAAACTTTTTTTAAAGTCCTTACTGGTAACATATTGTCAATAAAAATAAAAATTCACTTATATTTTGATTTATTTCACTATATATCAATTTGTTGATGTCAAAAAAACAAAAATAGGTTAGGTTAGTTAGGTTAGGTCATTGATCCCAAAAACTGGACAAATCTGGTTAGGTTAGGTTATACCAGAGACAGACTTTGACAGTTAACACGTGTGTTTACGTGATTTACGTTTTTAATTTATTTAAATATTGTTTGATAATAACAAAAATTTAACAATAATTATAATAAAATAAAAAAAAATTTGCTAACAACAAATTATGGTAATGACAAGTACATTTTTAAGGGCAATTTCGACTAATTCACCAAAGTCACTCTTTAAATTTTTATTACGAGAAAGTCAAAAATTGCCAAAAGAGGCACAAGAATTTTATAAACATTCAATTAAACAGGTAAGTTTCTTTTTTTTATATACAAATATAATATTTAATTAGATTTTTAAAAAATATATTAAAGACAATGTAGAAGTTACATAACCTCAATTTGAAATTCAAAAAGTTATTAATTAATGTTAATTATTTACAGAGTTTTAAACAACACGTAGATGAACCTGATCCCGAACGTGTTAAACAAATAATGGAAAAAGCTTTATCCGACGCCAAATGGGTTCTTCAAAAGGTAAATGTTTATTAGCTTTTTTTAATTGTAATATATTAACAATTTTTCTATTTACAGTATAAATCTGCTCCTAAAACACCATAAAATTAAATAGAATTTTAATTGTTGATTATATAAACTAATTACATTACGCATATATAATTAAAATGGAATTCGAAGTAATAATTAGCAAACAATGCGATGAAGATGCAACACAATTTTGGCAATCAATTGACATTTGGTTAAACAAACCTCACGTTATTAATCGTCGAATTTTAGTTTCTTCTCGACTTATTACATTTGAATATAAAAATACAGAAACTGAATTATTCAATTGGATTAATGAATCAGAATTTAATTCATTATTTGAAATTTCTGAAATAGAAAATTATATTTTCTCTTTAAAACATTTTCATAATTCTTGTAAAACTAATTTGAATCAATCAAGTTTTATTAATTTGGAAAATAATAAAAAATTCATCAATATTTCAAAACTATTACCTCGAAATTCAGAAATATTTGCTCCAACATTAGAAGTGACACTTGTTGATAGAGAAATAAATAGAATTACATCATTTTATAAATGTTTTTCAAATGAAAAACAAACATTGGGTTTTCAATATCCCTATAGAATATGTTATGAAAATAATCAAATAATTATCAGTGTTGAGAAGAAATATGAAAATAATTTTAATTTCGATTGGATTAAAAAGCAATTATTTCCAAGATTAATTAAATGGATGAATGACAGTGAAATGAAAAATAGTTTTATAAATGGTTCACTTAATTTAGTGTCAAATAATAGATATGCAACTTTATATAATCAATTGAAGGAAAAATATGGAGCTGAAATTGTAAAAATTTGGCCAGAGAATACGGATCCATTGAAATTTGTTTATGAAGACATAGCAATTGCAACTTATTTGTTAATTATTTGGGAAGATGAAAGAGATGAATTAAATATTAAGGATAAACAAACATTTTTAGATCTTGGTTGTGGAAATGGTTTATTGGTTCATATTCTTTCAAGTGAAGGACACAAAGGTTTGGGAATTGATTTAAGAGAGAGAAAAATTTGGCATCTCTTTCCAGAAAGTACATGTTTAGAGGTAAGTTTGCAATTCAAATTTTAATTTAAATTAAATAAAATAAAAAAATTTTTTTTTTGTTTTTAGGTACGTACAATAATTCCTTCATCAAAAAGTTTATTTCCCGATGTTGATTGGCTTATTGGAAATCATTCGGATGAATTAACACCATGGATACCAGTGATAGCAGCACGTAGCTCGTATAAATGTCGTTTTTTTCTTTTACCTTGTTGCGCTTATGAATTTGATGGACGTAAATACCAAAGAGAGACTGCATCACGAAGTCAATATTTAGATTACATGTATTATATTAAAAAAATTTGCGAGGAATGTGGTTTTGTAATTCAAATCGATAAATTACGAATTCCATCAACTAAACGCACATGTTTTATTGGAAAAAAAAGAATTTATTCCCAAGATATTGATCGTGAGAATGAAATAAAAAAAATTATTGACGAAAGATCATTACAAAAAAATGACAATTTTTCATCATTTGATGAAAATAAACAATGGTCCATTGATTTTAAACCACGTGAAATAAATGAAAAAGTTCGTAATTGCACACAAATTGATAAAAATCTAATTAATGATATCGTTAATATTGTATCGAATCAACTATTATCGAAAACAAGAATTATTTCATTGACAAATAATAAAACATGGAATGCCGGTGGACAAGTGGAATTAAATCAATTGGCAACAATTATTCCCGAAATGAGTTTAAAATCATTAAAAAATGAATGTGGTGGATTACAAACTTTATTAAAAAATAAAAGTCATATTTTTTGTGTTGAAAGTGGAAAAGTACGATTTCGAATACCAGGCACTGAAATAATGAGAAAACGAAAGAAGAATAAAAAAACATTAACAAAAATAAGAAAGGAAAAAAATTGTTGGTTTCATGAAAATCATCCCGATGGTTGTCCATTGACCGATGAGGTATGTGATTTTAAACATTATGATATAGAAAAATAAAAAATTATCTGAAAAAATGATAGTCTTTTATTTCTTAAAGTATATATAATATATATATATATATAACAACTTATTATAAATTAGTTTTGATAAGAACACATATTGATTTATTATCGTGAAAATAATTACGAGTATTTTTTTTTCGAAACAATTTCCGTTTCGACAGGCACTTCTAAATTAGAAAATAACAGAACATTCTCACTTTTTCTCCTGATTTCTAGAACTTAAAAAAAAAAAAAATTGCAATAGATTCTTCATTCAGAAAATCACTACACACAATATATTAAAAACATTTTGACACTAATCTAATTTTTTCAGTCGATTTGCGACGCACAGTAATTACTCATTTTTATTAAATAATTAATTTTTTATTTCAAGTTTTTTTTTTTCTTTTGAAATTCATTTTCTTTTTATGACAAATAATCAACAAATGATATATCATCGAGAGCTAAAAGTTTTGTGTCCTCTTGAATTAATTTTGTTGTTGGCAATTTTTTCGCATCGAGTAAATTTTGATGAGCTCGTTTAATGTGTATTTGTAAATTTCCCTTTTGCGTGAATGTATAGGTACAATATGGACAATTATAGGGACGATCACCGGTATGATGTTTCTGATGAATTTGAAGAGTATTTTTTTGTGTAAATGATTTATTACAAATTTCACATTTAAATGGTTTATCGCCAGTGTGAATTCGTTTATGTCTCTCTAATTGATTTAATTTTATAAATGTTTTTCCACAATATTCACATTCTCTTCTTATTGGTCCATTTCTCGATCTTCTACGTCCTCCTGTATTTTCAATTTTATTTATGACATTTTCACTATAATTTGGAATATTGAAATTAGGATTTGAATTAAAATTATTTTCACCAACACCAAGGACCATATTTAATAATCCCGCTTGCTCGAGATCGAGGGAATTTGCATTTTGAGTGATAATAATACTTTCTGAATTATTTGACTCTGTTACTTCTTGAGAAGAATTTTCGTCGTCGTCTTCGTCTTCTTCTTCCTCTTCTTCTTCTGGTAAATTCGTTAATCCAGGAAGAACGGAATCTTGAATTGCAATTGTCCCATCGGATTGAATGGAAATGAGACCATTGGCGAGAAGAAAATGTAAATTAGCCACAAGTTGATTACTCTCACTGACAGACAATACAGAATTATTATTTACAATAGTTCCATCAGGATTGAAAGTAATTTGATTTGTTAGAGCTGAAGCGTCAATTGTAACTGTATCGATATTCGAAGATTGATCCTCTGTTTCTTGTAGGGAATTTGAATCATCTCTTTCGATCACTGTCGTTTCAATTGCATTTTCCACATCGGCAACAACGCTCGCAATTGCTTCTGTCTTTCGTTTTCGTGTTTTTTCCTTGTGCTCCTTCTCATGGGACAAAAGATGAACTTTTCGATGACCCGACGTTCGAAATCTCATATCGCAAATTGGACATTTAAATGGTTTCGATCCTAAAATGAAAAAAAAGAACATAGTTTATTCCGGCTAAATAAAAATAGAAAATAAAAATTAATTTTTACCTGTGTGAAGTCTCATGTGTACTTTTAAGCTCCCTTTAGTTGCAAAGAAACTATTACACACGTGACAACTTAAAGTTTTCTGTCCATTGTGAATTTTCATATGACAATCGAGAGTACATTTAACTGCAAAACTTTTATTACAAAATTGACATTTGTAAGGTTTCTCACCGGTGTGAGTTCGTAAATGTCTTGTGAGATCACTGGGTTTTCGAAATGTTTTCGGACAGAATATACATTTATTTTTTTCTGGTTTCTTCTCTTCTTTATCCTCCATATTCTTAAGTCTTTCCATTATTTCTGATGAATCAAGCAAAATTTGCTCGGATAAATTTGCATCAATTATTATTGGAGTGTTATCAACTGGAAATTCATTAGTCAATAGTGAAACAGTTTCTTTTTCTGAACTATCAGCCTCGACTATGCCCAATCGGAAAAATGGTTGATGATCCAATAAATGAAGATCCATTTGTATTTTATTTGGTAATACTTTCTGGCATACATTACACTGATATTGACTGAAAATTGAAATTTTTTTTATTTTTGTATTTAAATAACGAATAATTTAATAATTATTATAACTCACTGTTTAGCTGCGTGCATTTTTAAATGCCTACTTAATCCGCCGTTAGTGCAAAATTTTTGAGAACATTCAACACATTCGAATTCTTTTGAGCCTCGATGAGTTTTTAGATGTTCCTGAAAAAATTCAAAAATTGAATTTTTCCATCAAAATTTAACAATTTAAAAAATATCTTACTTTTAAATCATTAGCCGTAAAACCACTTTTACTGCACATGTGACACTGCAATAATGGTGTAATTTCAACAGAATTATTACCATTAATTACAGAATTTTTCACAGCGTCATTCATGTGTCCCTCCACATGATGCATTAAATCAGATTCTCTTTTAAATTGTTTATCACATATTGTACATCTGGAAAAAAAATTAGTTATAAAAAAAATATTAACTCTAATTTTATTAAATTTTTTTATTTTTAAAAATTACTCACGGAAAATAATATTTGGAACGTGAAGAATTATTTATTTTGTTATCGGCATTATTTTCAGATAATTGAATTTCATTTGGATTTGTTGTATCAGCCTTAGCAATAATTTTTGAGTATTTTTTATCATCTGGTACTGATGGTAAAATTTCCGTTTTCAATTGATTTATTTCAATAGTTTCATTTGTCATTGGAACAGATAAAACTTCCTCTTGAACAGATTCAGGTAAAATATTTTCAATACTTGTCATTGTTTCTGTATCAATTGCAACATTTATAACTTCATCGCTCTATAAAAATATAATTAATTAATTAATGAAATAAAAAAATATTAATATTGATAATTTTTTGGAAAAATTAATTTCTTACATGTAATGATATTTGATTCATATCAAAAGTATCAAATTGTGGAGTAAATATATGATTATTAATATTATTTGAGACAGAATTTAATGTTTTCTCCGTATCGTAAATAATGACAGATTGATTTCCTTCAGAATTTTCTTCATTAAGATTTTTTGGTATTGAATTTCCAATTTCAAGATTCATTCCAATATCGAATAGCTGTTGATTTAATGTTTCTTCAATTTCACGAATATTTTCCTAAAAAAATAAGAAAAATTTTCAATACACATTAAAATAAAGAGAATATTAAAAATATATTAATAGTATAATTTAATTATAAAACTTACGACAGTGAGTGTCTGTTCTCCAGAATAATTTGGCAACGTTATCGTACCGGTTTCATCAGCATGTAAAGTTTGTGTAACTCTTAAATTAGCACTGGTTTCATTTAAAACATTTTCTAAATGAAAAAAATAATTATAATTTAAATTTGATAAAATTATTTTAATTAAAACCAAAAAAAAAATCCACTTACGATTTACATTCTCCACAGTAGAAATTGGAATCGATTTATTATTCTCCTCTATAATATTTTCATCGGACAAATTTGCAGTTAAATTAACAGTCGACGATTCAAATGGAACAGTTATTGAATCCGCCAATGTAAGACCACTTTCAGGTACCAAAAATTTCTTTTTATCCACTTGCTATAAAATGACAATGCATGCTTTGAAGCCAAACAAAAAAATCGTGAGGAAAAGCAATTTTTGATTTAAAAAAAAAAAAATAAATAATCTATATACGAACCTGTTGAGCCAATTCGGATTTGTGTATTTTCATGTGTTTTCTGCAATTCACGGATGTTTTAAAAGTTTTGTGACAATAGGGGCACATGAATGGCCTTTTATTGCTATGCGTAATTAGGTGTCTTTTCATGCTGCTGTTGGTTGTAAATTTGGCATTGCAAACGGAACAACTGTGCGGTCTTAAATCCTCGTGAGTGTGCAAATGCGTCTTTAATACGCTATTCGAAGTAAATTTCCTTTGAATCAAAAGCAAATCGTCAATAGTTTCAAAAAACATTTTTCAAAATCAAATGCACTTTTTCAATCTTTTAACGAACGATCAAAAAATTTTTTTTTCATATTTTTACAAAAAAAAAAAAAGAATCAAATAAATAATTTTATTTCTATAAAATTTGCATTTATAAATAAAAAATATATAAAAATACATGCAAGCAAGCAGTGACTTTATTTACAAAAGGCTGAGAATTTGAATTCAAAAAAATTACATTTTTTTTTTAATAAATACCTATCACATTTGGTGCATTTGTAGGGTTTTTCTCCAGTATGCCTACGAAGATGTTGTTTTAAATGACTTATTTTTCGAAAGGCGGCAGTGCACATTGTACATTTATGTGGTCTCGCTGAATCTCCATCTTCGTAAATTTGTTTTTTCGATTTAACATGAGCTACACTTATTTTATTCCCTGAATCACTGATAAGCAATGGCTCTTCTAAGACTATTTGTGGAACAAGGCTCTCAGCTTCAGGTGATAATTTCGTCTTCGGTTTTGAATGACATCTCATATGATTTTTTAACAATGAACTTCCACTGAAACATTTGCTGCACACGTTGCACGCAAATGATCTTGTATGTAATCTGCATAAATTTTTTTTTTTGATCAAATATCATTAGAAGAAAAAAATTGGAAAATGACAATTAATATTCTAAAAAATTTAAAATAAATTACCTAGTATGAGCTGTAAGACTACTTCGTGTTGGAAATATTTTATCGCAAATTCCACAAGGAAATTTCTTTAAAGCAGAATGTGTACGTTCGTGAGCGGTCATTGTCGATTTTAAAGCGAACGAGCGACTGCAATGTGAACACTGAAATAATAATAATTAACAAATGACACAAATTGTTTAAAAATAAATTAATTTTTTTTAATTAAACAATAATTTACTTTAAATGGCTTCTCTTGCGTGTGTATTCGTAAATGTCTTATGAGATCCGAAGGTTTTTTAAATTCCTTTTGGCAAAAAGTACAAGTGAACCACAACATATCACCCACGTGTCGTTGTTTAATTGTTACATATTTTCTAAAATTAATTGTATATTTTTAATGATGTATTTTCTAACGTACAATTATTAATTAATTAGTAAATACCTCGCATCTCCATCGGCGGTTCGATCTAATAAAGTCACCATCATTGTTTTACCTTTCGCTTTTTTATTCATTTCTAAAATGTAGAAATTTACATTAAAAAATTTATTTAAAATACTCCTCTATTTTTTATTATTATTGATAATTAATTAAATTAAATTGTTAGTTAAAAATAAATTACTGAAAATTAATTTAAAAACTATTAATTTATTAAAAAAAAAAAAAATTGAAAAGGAAAAATTCTTATAAAATACCTTCTTGTTTTTCTTTACTTGGCAGTCCACTATTTTGCAAAGCCTGTTGTAAAATATCATTGTTATCTTTCTCAGTTGAATCTACTTGATTTTTCACTTCCGATTCGAGTGAAGCAAGCTGTAACATAACATTTTCCACAGAAGCTTGCATATCGGCATCTGATGTTGAACTATCACATTTTGGATCTTCATCCTGTAAAAAAAAAAAAATGAATACAATATTAAATTTATTACGAATTTAAAATTACTAAATATTGATTTACAATTTAATTTTGCTAAACAAAATTTTTACCTCATCAATGGGAAGAGCGTGTCTTCTTTTTAAATGAGCATTTAAACTACCAAGTTTTTTAAAAGCACATGTACAATAAGTACATCGAAAAATTGAATCTTTATCAGGAAGATTATGAACACGATCAATGTGGGCGTTAAGATTGCCTGGAATGAAAAAATTTGCAAATATTTTTTTTATTTTTTGAAACAATAAATTAATAATAATTTATTAAAAAGTTTGAAAAAAATACCTTTCTGACTGAATTTAGCATTACAAAAATGGCAAGCGTGTGGCTTAAGTCCATCATGTTGTTTCATATGAATTTGAAGTGAACCTTTTTGAGTAAATTTTCTGCTACAAATTGTACACTGAAATTAATTTATAAATTAATTTCTGCTTCTAAACAATAGAAAGCATAATGAGAAAAGAAAAAAATTTCATACCTTAAATGGTTTATCGCCTGTGTGAACTCGAATATGTCTCATTAATTGGCTCGGTTTTTGAAAAGTCTTAAAACAAATTTTACATTTGTACATTGTTTTGTGTCTTGCTCCTTTCTTTGTTTGTTTCACAAGTTTTGTCTGTAACTATTTCAAAATTAAATGATAAAATCAATTCTATAAAATTTTGAATTATTTTAAAATTTTTTAATTAGCTTTTACAATATAAAATTTATATTTATCCGAAAATGAGAAAAAAATTCAAATCTTTTTCTAGATTTTTTTTTAGTAAATTTTTAAAATAGAAAATTAAAATCGCAATAAGTCTGATGATATTTAACGAACCCTGTAATGTTCTCGGATATGTTGTCTGTACAAAGCTGGCTGAGTGAATTGCTTGTGACAGAGTTTGCATTTTCTGACATCGTCGGTCGTCCATTTTTCGTTGTGAAGTTTCAAATGTGCATCTAGTTGAGCCTGAAATATAAAAAAAAAGACAAATAAATAAAAATCTAATTTCTAAAATTAAAATTAAAAAATTTCTAAATTTTAAAAATAAGGAATATTAGATGCAATCCGATAATAAAATATCCGGTCATTTTTTTTTCAAACTTATCGGTATCTTGTTGGTGACAACGCAGGTCATGCAACTCTAACTCTTTTATTTCTGTATCGAATTTAAAATCAGTGTATACTTAAATTTAAAAAAGAATTTATTTCAAAATTTTTTCACTCCAAAAAATTGTTTATTAATTTTAAATTACAGTAAATTCAATCGAATTAAATAATTTTTTTAAAAAATGGTTAAAATTGTATAAAATACAAAAAAAAATTGAATTTTTCGAAAAATACGAATACCTTATAATATTGAGCAGCGAGGCCAACGCCAAAATGAAAAACTCGAGAGCAAACGATCAGAAATGCAAAATTTAAATAATCCGCAGTGAGTGTCATTGCAATAAGGTCCATAAAAAAAATATGAATTGAACACTTTCTCTCATAATTATAAAGTCATCATTGCGCGAAAACGACACATTCTGATCATCACTGAACACATTTGAAAGTGGTATTTAAAAAAAAAAAATTTTTACTCCGACACTATTTAATAAAAAAAAAAATACCAAGAATTAAATTTGAAAATTTTTCTTACTGATATTAATCTATTTTATTTATAATAATAATTTATGACGCAGGAAATAAAGTTTATGAATATTAGAATTGATGTGATCGATTGAAACTTAGAACTTCACTTGAAACACGTCTCAACTTATTATATTAAGATGAATGGTTTTACATCACTGACGTTGAAAATAAAAGTTCATCGTTTTATCATATCTATCGGTCCATGGCATTCAGGAAGTGACAACCAATATATTTTTCTTATCCTTTTCTGATTGTTCTTGACTTTTAAAATTTTTGTCAAATATTTCAAAAAAAAAATTCAAAATTTATAAACATTCATAATAGAGTAAAAATAAATTTTCACTAAATTATAAATTTATAACTTTTGAATAAGAAATTTTTCAATAAAAAATTTCGAAATCTATTTTCAGAGACAGTTTTATTGCCTAGGCGATTCGAGACGAATTACTTCTCGAATGAGCTTATTAAATTGTTTCTATTTTGGTCGAGTCTATAGAGTTTGTAAAATTAGAGAAAGTCAGATTTGATATAAATTTCAAAATATATCAATAAATAAAACTAAATAGATAAACAGAAATTTTTTTTTATATAAAAAATCTGTCATTTCTAATTAATGAAACTTTAATTCCAAGAAGAAAACTATTAAACGAAATGAAACTTTGACGATCATTTGAATTTATTAACGAAGACACAATTGTGTGGTCAACTGGCAGATAAATTTCAATGCAGATGCAAATAATAATTGTTGTCAATCAGATTTTCTAGTTGCAACATTTTTTTTTTTTAAATATCAAAATAAATTTAATTATTTTTTTAAAGTAATTATTAAAATTAAATTAATTTCATAAAAAATTTAGTTAATTCCGTATTAAAATTTAATTTAATTAATGTTTTAAATGTTTAGGAGGTAAAAAAAAAGTATTCAACAAAAAATTTTATCACAAATTTCCAACGCATCCGTCTGATAATAAAATGCAGACAAAAACTATATATGAATAAATGTGACACAGTTTCCTAGAATTTTACACATGAGAATCGCAGTTTGCTTAATTTGTATTGTAATACAAAACTTAATTTAAAAAAAAGGAAAACTTTTAGTTCACAATTTAATTTCAAAATTAAGCGTTTAATTTTTAATGAAAATAAATAATTAGAGTTTAATTTTTTTACATTTAAAAATATATTAAATTTCCTGTATTTATTTAATTTTAAACACGACCTTTTACAAATAATCAGAAAAATTGTTTTTTTTTTTTTTTGACCATATAATAAATCGTCTCAACTTTGACAAGCTTACAAATTTCCTACATGCCTTCAATATACCACGTGTTAAAACTTTATGGAAACAAGACCCCGGAAACAGGAGAGAAAGAGAGAGAACAGACTTTTCTAAGGCTATATATTCGATAATAGGGAAAATGTTGGAAATTATTTTTGGACCATGAGAGGATGCAGTTAAGTACTTTTCGGGGAATAAAACTAATAAATAGTCGCCTTTTGTAATTCCCATGAAGATAAAAAAAAAATTGGAAATATATTTTAAATTTTTTTCATAAAAAAATGACTCTTTGAAAATAATTTAATGACTTTAATTTTATATTATTTAATTAAAATTATTATTTGAATTTTTCATAGAATCAAAAAATATTTTTAATTTGTGTATATGCTGCAAGGGTTTTAGTATCATTTAAAAAAAAAAAAATGAGACATTGCCGAAATTAATGCATTGACTCCTCGCGAGTGATCAAGGCGGGAAGATAAGAGTGCGAGGAGGAAAAAAAATCCTTTGCCCTCACGATTTCCTTCTGTGACAGCTTGTGTATTACGTCAGCGAATATTTAGTTTAAAGAGAGTCGAGAGGGTTCTTCACTGGGCAATGAAACCAGTTTTCAACTCGAAATCTCAAAGATTCGGCTCATACACATCTTTCACTGGCAATGAAATTATGAACGGGAAGTCTTTTTCGCTAAAAACAAATGAGGTCATAAGTCATGTTTGCTATGCAGCAAATTTTGCGTGAACGCTCTCTCTCAAAAAAAGTTGAGAGCAAAAGATAAACGAGAATTTAGAATTGGATTAACAAAATGGATTTAATATTCAACTCTTGTTATAATTAATTTTTAAAAAATTTTCCATTTTTTAAATTATTTCTATTTTTAATCACAATTTATGTGTGAGTAAAAAGCTCTCATATTTCCCTTTCAGAATTCTTTTATACCCTCTCAGATCTCGACTCGCGCGTTGAACTTAGTGAGAAAAGTTTCTACTTATGCTTATGCGAGGCTTCGAGAGACGACAACGACCGCACTCTTATCGCACGTATTACATCTTCTCTCTCTTTTTTTTTTGCTTTTTTTCTCACTACCCTGTCAATGACCCCAGAATTTAAGAAAAAAAAACAATCTTAACTTATACAGGAACCAATGATTAAAAATTAAAAAAATTTCTAATTAATTTTCAGTCAAATTTTTCTAAAAATAATTTTTCATATTCCTAAATCTTTTTACGATAATAAAATTTGTTCCATTGAAATACCTAATTAATAATTTTTCAATTTTCTAATTAAAAAAATGATTTTTTTTATCATAGAAAATTATTTCAATTATTTATTAAAATAATTTTTTTCAAGATTAAAAAAATTTGTAAAAAAAATATCACTTTTAATCACGTGAAAATATTATCGATATTAAATAAAAATTGCAAACACTTGAAATTAAAACAAAAAAAAGAAAAAAAAAGGAACTGTCAAAACTTTATTTTACGCGCGGGGTTGTCAAGGGTGTCGAGCACGTGCAGAAGTCGCGATCCGACTAACCATTTGGCCGGCAAAGTTTACTCACAACACCCTCCGTGAAGTAAAATGCCTCATCTCATCTCCTATAGCTGGCCTCTGCGGAAAGATGAGAGAGACTGAGAAAAAGTGAGCCAGAGAGCAAAATATACGCTTATGGCTTATTTAATGTAAACGTTACGTCCTCGAATTGATTCTCTCCCACGCTTAATACACGTTTATATTCTTCTCTTCTGTAAAAATACACACACATATATATAAGAAGCAGAAGAAGATGAAGAAAAAAAAAAGAAAAATTCGATTCATAAACAAAAGGGAATAGAATTTCAATCAGGAACAAAAAATTATTCGTGAGCTATTTTTATTACTGATTTTCAGGTCAATCATCTTGAATGCTTATTTTTAAAAATTATTCTCTCTCTCTCTATTTTCATCGGTGACAGAAAAAAAATGTGCAAAAAATTAAATTTCATATTTATGAAAAAATTGATTTAAATAATTTTAATTAATATTAGATTTAACGAATTTTCTTTTCGATTCAGTAATTTCGGTACAGAAATTCTGTGGAGTGAAAAAGAAGAAAAAAAAATAGAATTTTCTATTTATTTAAGAATTCAGACCAGCAGTTGTGAATAATTGCACTTTATCAACTTCATAAGTGGATGATCTAATACATGCCCTCGAATAATAAATGCTCTCATCAATGATTATTTCTATAATTTCTCAAACCCTTTCCTTTCTCTCAAGTTTTCTATTCTTTTATCGAAATTAAATAATTTAAATATTAATAACAATAGTAATTATAGAATAATTTCAACTCTGATTTTTTTCTTTTTAAAAACTAAAAAAATTTCTATTTCAGAAAAAAAAATTGTAATTATAAAGCGAAACTGAAATAAATTGACAACTATTTCCCTTTCTCTTTTACTTAATCTATTATGTTAAATTACTCATAAAATCACGTCAAAGGATATTTTAATCGATTTTCCATCACAGCTTCTTTGTCCTCCAGGAATTGCTCATTGTTATTGCCTCGATAAAAAAAAAAAAAATCTGTCTCTGTAATGCAACATATAATTAAACGACTCTGTGTGAATGAAAGATAAGAAGGAGGAATATAATCGATTATGTCAAATGGAACTGCTAAAATCCATCTACGCAATGATGTCATTTTAAATATAAGTGAATTCTATTGAGTTTTATAAACATTTTTCTAAACTCGAATGTATTTAGGTCTTTCTTGAATAAATAAATAGTAAAAAAAAAAGAACCTCGCGCAGATAGAAAAACATTTACTTTTTAGATGGAATAAAATCTTTCGACAAGGGGAAGAAGAAAAAACAATCCTTAGGGATTTTATTCGTGTTTTTAATTCGGAGAAAAAATTACGATTTAATTAAAAATAAAAATTAATTAAAAATAAAAATTAATTTTTGAATAAAAAAATTTTTTTTCTCAAAATAAAAAAATTGAAATAATTTTGACAACTGTTCCAGATTCGAATAAATATTTCATAGACACTCGTCAACGTATAAGTAGTATAAGAGATCCATGAGATCATACTCTTCAATTACGCAAGGTTTCTAAGTAGTTACAATCGACGCCCACTTACATATATATACATATACTTTTACAACCTACATCCCTATCATGGCCACGTGCTTTCCTTTATTATCGAAAGGCAAAAAATTTTGATTTATTTTCAATTTTTTTTGTAAATATATTTTTTCGTGTTATATTCAATATTTAAAACTTATTTTTCTCTAAATAAGAAATCACGCGTTGTTATTAGATTGAATAATTTTAATTTTTGTCTGTGTCTCAAATCAGAGCAAGGGAAATTGATAAGGAGGTCGGGGTCAAGGATTCGAGACCCTTCCCCAAAAAACCGAACAACTATAATATTGAATCCCATTTTTATCATTTCCCACAATAATAAAATAAAAAAATTTTCTTTTATGATAATAAATGTAATTTTTTTTTTTTAAAGCTTGAATGTAGAGAAACTGTAAATTGGCAACTAACTATTTCGAAGAGATAAAATCAAAGCTGATAAAATAATTGCCTGAGTCTCTCGTCTTTCATCCTCTCATTCAATTCTAAAGAATTTAAGAGAAGTTTTTCAAATTCTTGGAAAATTTTTACTGATGAATATAATAATTAAAAATAGTTTTTAGAGCAATATTTTAAATTCATAAATTCAAAAATAAATGTAAAAAATTAAAATGGGATTTTTATCAGCTTAAAATTTCTTTACATGCAAAGAAAGGATTTTTTGTTTGTATAATCAAAGTGCTGCGTATGAAAGGCAAAGAAAAAAGTTAAGGATAATATGCGTGTTAAATTGCTTTAGATAGTGAAATCAACAGGACGTTATCAATGACCTAACTTACATGGTCAGTAAATATTCATATTTTATTTTCAGGTAACTTACTTGAGTGAACAAATTTCCTTAAGTTTTATTTTAATTATTAATTTTTAATTCTTTTTAAAAAACTTAATTTATAATATTTTAATCTAAACATTAAACTTTAGTTTAAAATCAATTTGTCGTAATATTTCATTAAGAAAAATACTTACAAAACATTTTTTTGTTATTAAATAATTATTGCAAAAATAATAATTAATGGAAATTTAAAAGAAAAATTACTAACCTTAGTTGAAAAAGCATCCTCGCATTCGGTGCAAAAAAGATTTTCCTCCTTCTCATGCAACATCATATGAGATTTTAAACTTGCTTTTCGAGCAAATTTTTTTCCACACTCGGGACATTTTGGTTCGCCAATATTATGTGTTGCCATATGAAGAGTAAAATTTGTCTATTGAATAAAATAATTTATAAATATATTTATAAATTAAAAAAATCATATTTTTAAATATTATTTTATAGGAAATTATCTGCTTCTTAAAAAGTTGAAAAATTTTGCTGAGATTTAAAAAGAATTTAATGAATTTTCCAATCAACAAAAAAAATTAATTTCTTACTTACTGGAACATTAAATGATGCAGGACACTTTGGACAACGATGTGGCTTTTCCTCGGCGTGATGCTCCATGTGTTTACGATATAAATGTTTCTTTTTAAATTCTTCACAGCAAATTTCACATTTTAAATCGATATTCTTCTGAAAATTTAATTTATCAAAATAATTTTTTAATTAAAATAGATGTAAATAATTATTATCACTTACAAGAAAGCTCTCATATTTTTTTGGTCGTCCTGGTTTTCGTCTTGTTGATGATGATTTTGATTGATTGGAAGACTTGGATACTAAGGAGGTAGATTTAGTTGGTACTGATAAAGAAGAAGATTCAATAGATAAAGATTCTTCAGAAGAATTTTCAGTTCTCACTTCAATGGTTCGATATTGAGAAATATGATACGCAATTTGAGATTGATCTTCCTTTGTCGATGTTTCAGTTGAATCGTTTGAAATAAAAGAAATCATATGAGCAGGCACCAATATTGTTTCCTGAGATCTTAATCCAGACGATTCATCGACACATACTTGCAATACAGACTGAAATTGATTCTCATTAATTTTTCAATATTCTTAATTTATAATAATCTAATGGAACTGAAGGTAATTGCTATTTTAGTTTAATTTTTTCTACTCACAGCATTTGGTGAAAGATTACGATTAGATTTAGAATTATCAGAAGTGTCATTAGTCTCATTTACATAAGTAATTGGCGAATTCATAAATTCAATTGTACCATCTCCGACATCTGTAAATTTGTATTAAAATCAATTAAAAAAACAACTTGACAAGATTATTTCTGTTCTTTATTATTCTATTTACTAAATTCTTATAAACAAATTAAAATATTCACCTGATACAGCCATCAAAGTTCGTCCATCATCAGAAATAATAAAACTCAATGGAATCGTGTCCATTGTTGAATTAGTAACAATTGTCTGTGATGTCAACATTGTATGTGTTTAATGTTATATTTCAATGGACAATAATTTAACTTTTAAATAAATTGCATTTTGATTATATAATTAAACAAATTTTTCTTGAATATAAATTGAAACAAATGTAAATTCCATGTAATGTTTTTGTATACATATAAATTGAGAATCCTAACCTATAAAAATATCAAATCTTCGTGAACTCTTTCAAATGGCAAATTTCACTAAAATTAGTGAATTGTAAATTTGTTAGATTAACAGCTACATTATTAAATTGCAACACTATCCGTCAATTTTACATATTAATGAGTATTTTATTATTTTTATAAATGACAGATAACTGTTTGTGATCATTTTGTGATCGATACTAATAAAGATGTTTGCGCACTCTAGTGGTGTGTTACATTGTTAATTCAAAAATATATTTCATATTCTTTATTTATAATTAAAATATTTATCATTTCTCTAAAGATATTTAAATGTTTTTTTAGCATTTACATTCGAAAAACCGATTATTTCATGATATTATTTTTATTTATCAAATTGTTTTGTTAATTTATGACGTTTATTTAAAAAAAGAAACATTCCATTACGAATGCTTCTGATTGGTTGTTAATATTTTTACAAACATTACCGACCAATAGTAAATGAGCAAGGATAGAAAATTATTATTAATTTAAATTATTAAGTTAAATATCTCTTTTAAAAGTTATAGTTTATGGTAAAAATATGAAACAATTAAGTTCAGATAAATAAATTAAAAAAGAAACATAAAAAATATTTTAAAAAATTTGATAGTGGAGAGCAAATTAAATTTTCCCACCAGAAAATATATAGAAATGTTAATTTCTCAATGGAAATTTCTCATCAAGAGAGAAATTTCCACATAGCGTGTGGTGGGGACTAGTGCTGGGCCAAATGTGTCATGGTTCGCGATTGCAAAAAATCTGGATTGTTAATTGTGTTCCGATTGTTTTTGCTCAATTGTTTCAAGTAATGGATGATGAGAGTTTCATTGATTTATGGTTGTTCGAATGTATGAAGTATGAAGCAGCACATTAAACGGTTTTCATATATCTCAAAAATAACCACTATCAATGGACGCGGCCATGTTTTCTGGTAGCAGAAATCGCGAAAATCTTGCCTATTAAATTCCTCGAATTAGTTTAAAATCACGATAGTGGAATCTACAGAATGCCGAAAAACGATGTGAAATTTAAGTGTCTACCAGCTACATTCGCTTGGACCCTTTTGCTCAGCACTACAACACTTTTTTTCTACTTCCCGTAAGTATTTGCACGTCTCTTCTTACTCTCTTTTTTTTTGGTCTTGAGCCCGTGTGCGCACATCACATCAATCTTTTTCTTCCCTGTTTCTCGATGGACCACATTTCACATGATTTTCATGTTACAGATTAAAATTCCGTATGTCACTTTTCAATATTGGTTAATTTCAATCTTAATTAATCATATGTCAGTTGATTTGATATGTGAGTGTCATGTGTTCAAGTTGGTTTTTTTCGTATTAATTTTTTTTTTGTTGCCTTTTTAATGAACGGGACAAGCCCATAACAAGTTAACGATAAACTAGAGGCAAAAACAAGACTTTGAAACATCTAATCCTAGTATATTTCTTCGTATTGTCAACTTGAAAAAGGCAATGAATCTTTTTGAGATCTTTGATTTGTTTAATAAAAGCATTTTTTAAATTAATTTTAACAAGTTAACGGACTTTTTAAAAGAACTTTATTTAACGAGTTTTAATTCGTTTAATTAGTTCATGTTCGTTCATAAATAAAGTGGCTCATGACAAACTCGAGAGAATAAAGGCCTCTTTTTTTTATTATTATTATTATTTACAATCCGTTGATATTTTATTTTGCAATTATTTTTCAAATGTAATTTAAAATAAATTAAAACATTGAAGTGAAAAATATAATTTGATTCATTTTTGTGATAACAATAATAATATGAAAATTATTCGAATGTAGAATATAAATAGTTTTGATGTTGGAGAAAAATTCTTAAGAGAGTATCTAAATATAGGAAGCACTTAAAAAAATAAAATACATTATCTATACAGATGAATGTAATTTATTAAGGCATATTCTAATTCTTTAATTCAATGACATTTGGCTTTTTGAATAAAAGATTTGCAGAAAAATTGAAAACAACCTTTTTTTTTTAATAAATGAAAATAATTTATTTATTATATTCTAGGTGCCAGTATTATATTGGACCGTATCCATGGGTTCCTGCATTGCAAGGTGTTATTACATTCTTTGTTTTGACAAATTTTACATTGGCAACGTTTATGGACCCAGGAGTAATACCAAAAGGTAAAATAAATAAGGATAAATAAAAAAATTGAAAGAGAAAATGTTTAAGTTTGAAGAAAAATTAATTTAAATATTCATTTTCAGCTCCACCAGACGAAGATCGAGAAGATGATTTCAGAGCTCCTTTATATAAAAGTGTAGAAATCAATGGAATAACAATTCGCATGAAATGGTGTGTTACATGCAAATTTTACAGACCACCACGTTGTTCTCATTGTAGTGTTTGTAATCATTGTATCGAGGTAAATAATATTTTTCATTCAATTTAAAATTATTCTTTCTTTCAAAATATTTAAAAATTTATTTAATATATAGTAAATTATATGAAATGAAAAATATTAAATAGTAAAGAAAAAATTGTTTTCTATTTTATAAATTATCTTGGAAAGATAATTTTCAAGTATAACGTCAACAACCTACATTATTGAAATTTTCTAATCTAATCTTTTTCCAAGATAATTAACGAATACAATACTATTATTTACTTTGGATATATTTTTTTTATTTACTTTTTCTACATTACAGACATTCGATCATCATTGCCCATGGCTAAATAATTGCATAGGCAGGAGAAATTACCGATTTTTCTTCTTTTTTCTCTTGTCGCTTAGCTCACATATGCTCAGTATATTTGGACTTTGCCTCTATTTTGTCCTTCTACATAAACAGCAACTAGGCGAAGTTCAGACAATAGTCGCGTATCCTTTATTGACCAAATATTTTTTAAATTCTTTTTTCTTTTTTTTTAATTTAGGTGATTTTTTGTAAATATTTCCTTAATATGATAAATAGAATGGTACTCATGGGCGTGGTGACGATACTGGTGATTCCAATATTTGGATTAACTGGATTTCATGTAGTGCTCGTTTTTAGAGGACGCACGACAAACGAACAAGTCACTGGCAAATTTGATACAGGTCACAATCCATTCTCTGGCGGATGTTTGCACAATTGCTGTTACACACAATGTGGACCGCAGTTCCCGAGGTATTTTGTTTTTTTGTAACAATAAATAATTGCAATTTTACATAGTTCAAATTTTTATTATTTTTTCTATTTTGCAGTTTAATTAAACCTGAAAAGTATTCAGGAAAACGACGCGGAGCTTGCACGTCCGACATCTCGATCATCGCCACTGAGAACCAGGTAAAAACCTACATGGATAGCAGCAATGGTGTTAGAAATGCCAGTTCAAATGCTTACAATAAGGTAAGAGCTAGAAAATAGTAGATCCAATTTTTTTTTTTCCTTTTTCATTATCACGTAACTACAGCGTCGATGGTGGCGTTAACGCTTCCTTATATGCACGATGTTAACCGAGTTGTGATAAAGTTTCCGAATTTCTCTCAGCTCCAGGTTTCAGTATACATTACGTTATTTCTTTTTAAAAATCAAACGTAGATTTTGTCAAATTATTTCAAATAATTTTATAAAAATTATTTTTTTTTGAATTTTAGAAAAACTACGTTCGATTTATTTAGAAATTCATAGAGAATTATTGTAGTTTTATTCTGCATTGCATGTGCAACGCTTTTTAGTTATTTAGAATTTTCCTAATTCTAATTTAGTTTCATTTTTTATTTAGAATTACACGATCAGAATTGAAATACCTTCCAGAAGTCATACACACAATTCACGTCAGAAAAAGTATTATTTTTGATTTTAAAATTCTTCTGCGTCTTTATCCTTGACTCCTTATTCCAATTTTTCAAGATTCCAAGTAAATTATTTTAATTTAATTATTGATATATAAAAAAAATAACTATGATAATAATAAAATTTGGAAAATTACAGTTATCTCCTGGTCGTGATGGATCCGATACGGATATGGAGCCAACGGCTTCTCAATCAGCTGATTGTGAGCCAACACCTCCGTTGCAGAGGCACGGATCGAAAAGTAATTTTTTCCTGCCATCCATGGAGAATAATGACTCTCCACGACATCCTCTTTCACCGAGAGGAAGAGGATTGCCAAGAGGCAGTCCTCATCCTAGGCCGAGGTACAAAATTACAATATTTTTATATTATTCATTTATAACTTTAAAGATTAATTTTCGATTTTTCTTTTTTTAATTTATAATTTATGTTTTAAGAAAGAGATTTCTTTTTAAATTTATTAATTTGAAAAAAATTGTTTCTTTTCTTTTCATTACGAATTGACTTTCGTATAAAAAGCGATCTTTACAGAGGAATGAATGGATCTCGTAGTCACACGCCAGATCCATTATCACCAGAAGGTAGTGGATCTCCGGCAATAGGTCCGCAGAGAGGTCAGGGACAAGGTGGTGCCAGTCCAACGATGCAGCAACGAATCAAAGCCATCGGTGTACCCACCCCGCTTGCCATTTCCAGTCCAATTCGCAGGTATTGTAGATTTTTTTTTTTTTTTTTTTTAATATAAATTTATAAAATGATCCTTTAAATATATATAAAAAAAGATGTTTTCCTCCTAATTAAAAAAATAGTCTTCCTTAAAACAGTGTGCACTAACAATTTAAACTAATTTTCCAATAAAAAAAAAAAATTCTTTAATGTTTCGTAATTAATCCAATAAATAATTCTAAACTCTTATACTAATGATTAAAAATCTTGCTGCATAATTATTTTTTTTTTTAATTGTAAAATATATTTAGCTTTGCATGCATCGCGACTCATATTTTGGTATTTAATATAAAAACAGTGCCGCTATAGGATATTAATATTGTACCTCACGAGCACGTTGTAAAACAGATAAATAATGTTCGTACTCTTTTTTATGTCAACCCTTTATAGGGCATGGTATATATTGTAAGCAAGAGCAATTGAAACGATAATCCCTTGGTTTTTTTTTTTTCTTCACTTTTATAATTATATTACTGCACATCGCTTTCGTTGGATATTGTTCCAACAGCAAAAAAAAAAAAAAACAAACAAACAAAAAAAACAGAAAGAACTCGTAAAAAGAAAGTTGCTCAAAAAATAAATCTATAGAAGGAATTAGTTTTTTCTGCACGAACATTTAAAAAAAAAGAAAAAAAAAAAGATATGTGGTATATAGATAAGTTTGTGTCCCACTGCAGGGAGTGGTAACTGCAAGGAGCTGTTTTCTGCCAACATGTTGCGACCTACTGCAGGTAAACACGAACTTCATCCTACGAGGACGTTCTGTAGTTTACAATTGTACGCTTCTATTGCATATTGAAAAAAATCATTCATCATAATCATGATTAATTATTATCATTAATCCACATTATTAGTCGTTAATTATCTGTGCCAAATACTTTTCAATTAAATAGGGTATTTGTTTCGATCAATCGCGATTAGCGCTCTTCTTTTTTTTATTCACTGATCGAAATAAATATTTTTCTGTTTAATTTATTGGAATTTCCTTAATTAATTGAATAGAAATTTTGAAATAAAGAGAAAAAGAATTTTAGTTATTTAGATTTTTTGAAAAAGTATTCGCATAGAGCTAGAAAATGGACTGAATAAATGTAGAGATTTTTTTTTTAATGGAAAAATATTTAAAAATTTTAAAAAATCATTGCGGTTTTAATTCGATTTTGAAAAAAAAAATCATCCAGAATTTTGTTAAACAACTGTCGCTATTCTTTTTACGTTTCTTGGATAGAACGCTACTCTCACGAGGAATGCTGCGCTGCTCTAATTATTATATCTCTCTAATTATATATTAAATATTCTTTCTGTCTATGTATTTTTTTTCTCTCTTTTTTTGTGTACGAATCGCCAGAATATTAATTGTATGCAAATTCAACAGCACTCGCATACTTTGTATTGGTATTCACTTTGTACGGCGCATTGTGGGTTTTTGATATATATCTAATTTTTTTTTTTTGTTCAGCTCGAATCCTTTTTGATTCTCCTTTAAATTAGTTTTTTTCAATAATTTTAATTGTAATGGAAAAAAAATCTCAGCATTATTCTTTTTTTAGATCAAATCCAGGAACCCCGACGCAGGTCCGTCGGCCGGATTTCATTGGTGTGAATGATGCTCCCACTTATTATGACGTCCAACAGTGTAATGTTGCCTGTACACACAGCAATTATAGTCCACAGCGACGTTTTCTTTCGGAAAGTGAATTGATACGTCAGGGTAATGAGCATCCTTATTCACGAACAAATAATACAGTTGATAATATTCGTGAACTTGCCGGTTCACCACAACGTGGCGTTTACATGTGGAAGGATAATTCACCAGGTAGTTATCCAGTGGCATCAACAATGATTCATCAACCCACAATACCAACTCAACGTCCACCACCATATGATTATTATCGTTCAAATCCAACAAGTCCCACGCAACAATTTAATGCGAATAATAATAATAATGCAGCGGCAGCAATGGCATTACAACAAAGACCACCTTATCATCCAGCTATGAGAGGTGGTGTTCCTGTTTTTCCACCTCAACATCCACATCATCAATCATCGCCTCAAGTTAAACGAAAAACAATGGCAACACCAACAACACCAACATCAAATAATGACGCACGACGACGTCCAATGAGCTTTGTTAGAGCTTTAGAAATGACTGATTCAATGGAAATGGTCTCTGCCGCCGCCGCCGCATCAAATGACACAAGGTCACAACGACCAACAACACCAACACCTGATCGCGCAAGCGTTTACGATATGAATTATGAAATATCCGTATAGCGCACCCTTTTTATCTTCGCGCCATTCTATGCAAAAGAGCCGGAGATCGTTGTCCGTGAATCTGCAGACTGTTTCCATATCATGTGCTTCAGCGAGCAGAAAATGCGGGGATACGAGATTTTTGTTTAATTATATACTAAATATTGAGTGCCGAAATGAATCATAACACACATACATACATATACGGAGAACTCAGTGATACGGAGAATAAATTCCAGATAAATAGCGAATAATTAAAAAAAAAAAAAAATTGAGAATTCTCCGACTATTCAAGAAATTTAGTTTTCAAATAAAACTACAAATACAGAAAAAAAAATTTTGAAACTACTTAAAATAATTAAATAAAAAGTAATCTCCATTTAAAAATCTATTAGAGAAATAAATTTCTCAATTTTCTCGAATTATTCGCTATAAATCTTGGATATTTCGGGAAATTTGGTGATGCATTTTTTTTTTCATTTATGATGGAGGAACAATTTTTTTTTTTCGTAAAAAAAAGAGTGTGGAATTATTTTCAGAGGAAAAGGTGCAATTTAGGATATTTTCCGTTGACGATGAGAAACTCTGTGCGCGAACAAAATCGATCAAGACTCAGAATATGTTTCTAAAAAGAAAAATCGAAGAATTTCGAGGATTTTTTCATCGCCGTGAATTTTTGTAGAGTAAAATTTGGAATTCTGTAAGTTCTGTTTTTTTTTTTTTTTTTGCTTAAAAATTTTCGTTTCTTTTTAGGTTAATCTATTTTAATATTTATTTTCTTCTTTTTTTATATTAAGTATTTTTTTATGTTTTTTTTTTTTTTTTTTTGTATTTTCTATGAAATTTGCGCTAATCGTGAAAATCACGAGAAAATTAATACTTTTGGCTATTTTTGCCATTAAAAAAAAATTTTAAATTAATGAATTTTGATTAATAAATTCGAAGTAAAATTGAAAAAAAAAAAGTTGAATTATTGAATTTTAAATCATTTAGAATTATATTTTCTAAAAATAGATTTTAACTTATTCTATATAATAGTCGGAGGGCATTTTTGGTTTTTAAAATAATACCATAACATTTAACGAATAACTGACATGAATTGAAAAAATTGATATTTTTTTATTGATTTTAATTTATCTAAAAAAAATTATAGATAAATATTTTCATTAAAAAATTGTCTAAAATATCTTATAAAATTTTTTAAATCTAAATAATATTTATAAAATCATATTTAAAAGCGACACGATTATGATAAATTCGCAGGGTAAATTTGTAGAGAAGTTTTTGCTCAATAAAAATTTAAACGGGTCGTTTTTAAATTTTTCTTTATAAATTAGATAAATATCATAAATTTTTATTTTTTCGTAAATAATAATATTCGTTAGTATTCAATATACATATAAGGCAAAAAAAATTTCCAATGTAAATAAATTTAAATGACTATTTTTTTCGCTTGGTAAAAACAGTTTTTTAATTACAAAAACAATTTCTGACAGTGAAAGTATAAAAATAAATGAAAGTTAGATATTTTAATAATGAACTTGCGACTTAGTATTAAGATTTAAAATGTTTTATCTAAACTTTTCAATGATTCAACAATTTTTTATGAATTTAAAATTTAAAGTCATTTAAAATATTTTTTTTACAAATTCAAAGTGATGATAAAGAAAAAAGTGTATACTCTCTATAATAATTTCTTTCTTTTTAATTTTTTAAAGAATAATTTAAAGAAAATTGTTTATATTTTATTTTTCTGTTAATTAATAGAAATTTTTGAGATCCTGAATTTGAAAAAATACTCCTGAAATTCTTACGACTTTTTTTTTTATTTTTCCTTTTCTTGAGAATGATCTCAAAACGGGTTATCAGTTAATAATTTCCTTTTTATTGGAAATTCTGAAGCTCGGCCGTTGGATAAAGTCTGACTTTTTATTTTTTTTTTTTGTCAAAAGAGCTGAACACTTTTTTTAATTAACACATAAGGTCAGTTTAGATTTTGATACAGTGTTAATCGTGACTATTGATTTGATTAAAAAAAATATATAAAAAACCACGAAAGTCAATCACACTTTTTTCAAAAAATATGATTCGACGAATAAGTGTGATGTGAATATTGGAGATATTTCCCAATGAACTCTCTTTTTATCTCTCACTCTCTTTCTCTGTATCTTCCTCTTTCACTTTTTCTCTTTCACCAAATGAAGATAAAAAAAAAAAAAAAAATATCCGTGTCCAAGTAAAAGAGAGTTACTTAATCGAACTTAAGTCATCGTCAGGATAGAATAACAAATTTTTTGTAAAATAATCGTGGAAACTGTGTAGTAAATTTTTAATATACGAAAAAATATTTAATGAGATATTTATACGTAAATGATGTAAAACATAAGACCATTATTTTGCTTGTTTGTTAAATATTTTTTTTTATTGTCATTAATGTGTCCATTATTTGTTTTTAATATCACAATATATTTGTCTTGAAGACGATTCAAATGATGAAAAACATTTTTTTAAGAAAAAAAAAAAATTATTTAAATAAGATTTTAAAAAAACGAATTTTTCAAAGTATGCAAGTGATGAGTGAAAATGATTTTGATGAATATGTAATAAAATTGAGACTCTTAAACTTTTTGTTACATATACATATATATAAAAAAGAAAAACAAAAATGAAAATGATTTTGTAATATATACATTGCATAAATCAATCGCTATGTACTTCTCTTTGTACTCATTCCATTTCTTATACAAAATGAACCTTTTTACGGAAAATACTTAAGTTTCGGAAAAAAAATAGTAAAGACTATTTTAATTTCGTTTTTTTTTGTATTTTGTTATTTATTTATTTTAATTTGAAAAAATACATCACAATTTTTATGAAAATAGTTTAAGATGATATACATATATAATTGTTTGAAAGGGTCAAAGTAAAATAGTGCATATCGAAATAAACAAACAAAAAAAAAAAAATACAATGATACTGAACCAATTTTGAGTCTATAATCAAGTTTCGTGGATCAAATTGCAATTTTTTTCAGGAATTCGTGAGTCTGACCAAATTCTTATTCTTATCAAATAGTAAATCGTGCCAAACGGAGATTTTTCAAAAAAAATATATATATATCACGCATCCTACCCATTGTTTCAGCACTGAGAACAACGGTACAATCTTTATGAAATGGTAATGATTTCAAAACAAAAAAAAAAAAAAAAAAATGTACAAGATGCGACGTATATTTAGTGTTTGTAATTTGATGTACTTGTACATATTACTCGTTATAATTATTTCAATGTACATACGTATATATTTCGATACTTCACGTATCATCGCTATTCTATAAAAATAAATACTCTAAAATCAATCTTTTGTTTTCTCTCATATTTAAAAAAAAAAGAAATTTTTTTTTCATACGATCTTACGCAAATTGAAAAAAACTTACAAATTTTTTTTTTCTTTCATTAAAAATCAAAAAAACTAAATAAATACAATACTTAATTTAAATTATTTATTATCAACAAAAATATGAACTTAAAAATATTAACAGTCTTGTGTTATTGAGGCTAGTTTTTAATTAAAAATTAATTAAATTTAACATTTATTTCCATTTAAGAATTTTTTATTTAATTAAATATGTCTTTTTTTATCACTTCTTGCTTATAAAATTATTTTAAAAATAATTTCATATTTTAAATATATAATATGTATATTGAACATTGATTTCATTATCAATGATTTTTTTTCTAATATTTTCGTCTTTTTATTTTTGGCAGAGAAATATTGACCGTTTCAATTGAACGTAAAACTGGTTTTTTAATATTCGTCACAATTTTAATTGGTGATTCTTTTAATTCTTCCTTACTGTTTGAATTATTTTCAATTGAATTGATAAATGGCTTTTTAATATCTGTGACAATTATTGTATTCGCTTCTATTGGTGATTCTTTTAATTTTTCAAAATCTTTTTCACTATTTAAACTATCAGAATTTGTGGAACTTACTTCTGAATTACATGAATTAAGAAGCCAATTGAGAACATGATCTTTTTTCGAATAAATTCGTGAAACTTCCGTTTTAGGAATATTATTCGATTGAATTGTATTTTGAAATGAAAATGACGAACAATGGCTATCCATGCTTTTTGTTGGTGAATTCACATTCATTTGAAATAAAAGATTTTTCAAACTTTTTGGCTCGTAATTAAATGTTTTTGTTGTATTTGAAGTACTGTTAAAACAAGGATTTTTAACAAGCGATGAATTTTGTGATTTTGACGTCTGGAAAAAAAAATTTTTGTTTAATATAGATTTTTTTTTCAATAAAATGATAATGAAATAAATAAAAATTACCTCCATTGTTTCTAAAGAATTTGTCTGAGATTCAGAAGTATAATAGTTAAATGAAACTATCTTGCCACAAATTTGAGTAACTTTCTCTTTTAAATCATTAAGAAAACGAGTTTTAATCTCATTTTTGTTATTGCACTTAATAATAGTTGGAAGTGATGTTTGTAGGCAAAGATCTGGATGAACGAAAATACGATTTTCAGGTTGTGAAGTACTGACTAGATAGTAATTGATATTTTCCGAATTTCTTGGCAACATAATTCCATACTGCAAATATAATAAATTTATCAATTTTAATAAAAAAAAAATATTCTTTATATAAAAAAAAAAAGAAAAAATTAAATTACCATATGTTTCCAGTGATCTCGAATTACGTCGTAACTTTTAAATCGACTCATTTTAGGAATGTTCTTTGTAACTTCAAGTAATTTGCATTTATGGAAACTAAAAAATAAAGAATTTTAAAAATACATAAATTTTATTCAAAAAATTAATTCAAAAATTTTACTTATAAAATGTATTACCTGGGCAAAAGAAATACTATTTCTTTTTGAAGAACTTTTTCTGATGAATCAACAGTTTTTAAACTCAATGGATAAACTTTAATTCTCAATGGAGTGACTCTTAAAATTAACTTCTCATCTAAAAGTTTATTAAAAAAATAAATTCAAAGTTATTTCAAAGTATTAAATAAATATATTGAATATTAAAAACAAATATATTTAAATTTACTTTTAATGGTTAATTCCAATTTTACAGCATCCAATTCATCTGTGAGATTTTTGTAATCTTGCCCATTAGATAAATATTCATAACATTTGTTCCAAATTGGCGTTAAATTATAAATAATTGTGTATTTTATACAAAGTTTAAAAATTTTTATTGTTACACTTTGCAAACTCGTATACTGAAAAATTATTAAGTTTTTTTTTAATGCTTTCTTATTAACTTTAAATAAATATATATATAATTATTATCATTAAAGAAAAATCACTTACATTTATTACTTTAAAATCTAAATATTGTTGCAACCTTTTTGTTTGGTAAAATTCTTTCGTCATTACAATGTATGCATAGTTTTCTGTTTTAGGAATTGGTGAAGCTATTACTGTAGGAAAATATTTGATAATATCCCTGAAAAAAAAAATCAATTCAATTAGAATATTAAAATATACTAATTATTTATAAATAAAATTAAGAAATTATAAATGTTTTTTCATACCTGCAGCAAATAACTTGACAGTGTTTAACATTGATAAAAATTTCATGATCAATTTGATGTTTACTGAATATACAACGAATACAGCATAGATTTTCAAATTTTGGTAAGTCCGTATATATCAAATTATTGAAATTCATTGTAAATGATTCTTGATAATCACTTAAATAATTGTAGTAATTATTACATGTCTTTTAACAAGAAAAATAATTATATAGGTTAGACAGCAACAAATATAAATATTATTATTGCATATTTCAATAATAATATTATTCAAAATTTCTTTTACCGTACATTGAAATAGTTATTAATTAACAAATTAACGTAATTCAATGTGTCAGTGATTTAAAATAATTATTTTAAACAAAGAACCGGCCTTTTTTGCACTAGTATTTGCACTTTTGACACTTTTTAACCTCAAAAAATATTAATGTGCGCATGTGTTGTGTTTTTAAAATGGGATTCCCTTTAATTACTCAAATTTATTTTTAAGTAAATATATTTAAATAGCAATTTGTCAAGAATTTAACAACTATTAATCATTTAATGATTATAATTTATAGAATACTTTTAAAAATAACAAATATATAATAATTTTTATTTGTAATTTTAAATTTAGCAGTTTCTTTTAAACTTTTTTATATTTACGATTGGTACTACTGTCATTTTGATTCCACTTTTCATTTCAAATGTAACCGATAAATTTTTCCTGAAAATTGTGAATTCACTGTTTAGAAATTAATTAAAAAAAAATGTTTGATGAAACAATTTTATTCACTCACATTCCAGAATGTGAAAATTTGTGTCGCTTTATATGCAAATTAAATGATGTAATAATCATTAATGGATCTCCAATGTCATTTTTTTGTTCTCAAATCTACAACTGCAGGTAAAATATTATTTCATATTTAATAATTGAATAAAAAAGAAATGATTTTCCATTATTCATTTGTTACAAGGTATTAAAATAAGTAATTATACTGATGATTTAATTGTTTATGCATTTTAAAATACGTTAAATTAAAAAATTTGTTAAACAATTAAAACTTAACCTAACATTTTTATTTTCTCCCATACTTGTTTATAATTTTTTTACAGATTCATTATCGATACATTTCCTGAAATTATGGCTGCACCTATGCCAGGAACAGATAATTATATTGAAATAATTATTGAAAATGATTATTTTCGAATTAAGAAATTGCAGATTTTTCTAAAAAGTGAAAACTTATTGGTAGGTATAAAAATAATTTATAAATATGTAAATAAATAAATTTTTCTTTTATTTATAAATACGTTGATATTTTTTTTTTTTTTTATAAAAAATGAATGAAAAATATTTTTTTTTCTCGCAGTGTTCCGATTCAAAGCCTGTAACTTTGGAAAATTACAAAGAATGTATAATGTACACGATAAAATGTAAATTGTCACCTACTTGGAATAAAATGGGCCAGTATCTTTGTCACGGAAATGATTATTTAATTGGCAATGAAGAAATTAATGCAATTAAATTTGATCTTATTGTAACAAGTAAGCTAAAATGATAAAAGTTGAAATTTTTTTTTTAATTTATATTTTAATTTTTAGTAAATAAAATATAATATAATTTTTATATTTTTATAGAACAAGGAATGCATATAAAATTTCATTACTTGAAAATACAAATGTATCCATTAAATCTTGAAGATCTTCAGCTTAATCCATCGCTTATGGCAGAATTTAAAGAAAATCCTAAGGGTTTTATTGAACTTGGCCAATCTTGGTTTAATGTTTTGCCTAGGTATTAAATTATAAAGTGATTTATTCTAAAATTATTATTTTACATTATGTGTATTAAATTTTCAGTTTATTTAAAGCGAGGCTTTTGTCCGTTTCAAAAGAAATACCTTCGGGGAGTCCTTTTAAAAATTATCAAGAACTTCGAATACATTGGAAAAATATGGTAAAAAAAAAAAATACTATTTGTGAAACACTAATATTTAATATATATTATTTTTATTTATGTGTAAAATAATTTTTTTTTAGCACGGATACATATTGCCAGAAAATGATGAAGAAATTTTATATTATCAAGTTCACTTCAAAGCATTTCCAGATCAAGTTTTTCTATATCCTAATGTATGTCTAAATTCTCAGCCTCCTAAGATAATTAATTATGAAAATAATTCTCTCATATGCAATAAATTCGAAGAAGATTTGAGAAAAAATATTTATTCAATTTGTGGAAAAACACTTTCTTTCGTTAAAGATAATTCAGAAAAATTCATCGATTTTAAAATTCCTTCAACTTCATATTTTTCTCCTGCAAGAAAGGTTAATTTTTCTATTTATTTTTTTTTTTTAATTAATCAATTATTCTCAGCATTTGTAGACACTATTCTCTTTTTTTTTTTTTTTAGATAAAAAAAGAATATTCAAATTCGAACATTACTCCATTCAAAAAATGTTCATCCAGTGATTTGAAAATTATTCCACTTTCATCAGTATTTAAAAATATTGGATATTCGGAAATTGGGAATGAAAAACAAATTTTAAAATTGAAACAAGAAACGGTAAATTTACAAAATTATTTTTTAAAAAACACAATAGGAAATAATTAATACATTTTTTTTTTAAACATTACAGTTAAATTTTCCGAAAAAAGTGATCATCCCTGAAAATTTGTCTACAAATTCTTCGCAAAAATTGGATTCAATTGACAATTTATCAAATGTTACAAATAAACTTAGTCCACAGTTGTCGACAAAAATTTTATCACAATACACACAATCGCAGCCAATTAGGAGAAAATTAATTTTCGATCAAAAAAGCGAAGATGATATCAGCCAAAAAAATGAAACCTACAATAATATTTTGAATCAGACTAATTATCAAAATTCGATAAAAAGAAAAACGCCAAAGGATAAGGAATTGTTTGATGCTTTACTTGAAGAAAAAGCGGATAATGATATTTTAAAATCTATTGTTCCATCTCCGGCAAAAAGAATTTGCATTTCTAAACAAAAACGGAATCCACCAATTATGGAATCGATTTCCAAATATTTTAAAGTACAAAAATCAACTCTTCATCGATCAATGCAAACTCAGGTAAATTATTTAAATTCAATAAAAGTACAAAGAATTATTTTTTTTTTATTGAAAATTTATATTAAATAATTTAATTTTATTATAAATATAGTGAATATTATTTTACCTTTTTTTTTATTGAGATTTAATTTTTTTAGGGCAACAAATTGCAATTTGAAAATCTTAAGAAATAAGCAAAATTGTTAATAGAAAATACTTTAAGATATAATTTGTTTCTATTGTTATAATATAATTTATTTCAGTTAAATTTTAAATTAATTTAATATTTATAATTTTAATACAGTTTTTCAAATTTATGTTATTAAAAAACTGTTATTGTTAATTTTTAATAATTTTAGTTACACAAATGTAATTCAAAAATTCTAATAAATAAAATAAAATTAAAAATCATTACAATTTAAATTTTCCTCTATTTTACGTTTTTATCGTTAAATTTACGTAACTAGAATAATTACCCAACCATGTGCGGACGCTAAAGTTCATTATGAACGGAACTTAAGTTCTGCCATTTTGTCTAAACGGCCAAAAATTGACATAAACGTCGCGCTTACCTTCAAGAAGTTTTATAATTTTACTAATGATTAGTAAATAATCGTTGACTGGAAATTTATTTTTATAAGCAGAATCATGTAAGTATTTGATAATATATTTATTTTTGACAATTAATATCATATTATTTACAATTGTTTGTCGGTGAAAATAATGCGGTTTTTTTTTTTTAATCATTTTAACAGGGCTCGCAGCCGCAAAGATAGTGCGGGCAAAAGCGATTCCGAAATTGCAGAAAAGGAAAACAAACGAGAACGAGGCAAAGATAAAGATCGAAAAAAACGAGCTGCTTCTAGTTCCAGTAGTAATAGCAGGTGGGATAGTATTTTTGTTATTTTTTTTTACAATATGAAATCTGTTCAATGAAGAGAAAAATAATTTTTTTTCTAGTTATTTTCCCAGTGATAATTCAGAATCGATAGTATTTATTCAAATTCTCACCTTATCTTAAAGAAGCCACCTTTTTTTTTATTAATGAGATATTTTTAACAATTGTTCTGTAATCAGTTTAGGAAAACATAACCTTAAAATACATTTTTTTTTTTAATTTTGTTTACACAAACTATATATTGGAAATTTAGTATCGATGGGAAAAATTCTGTTTCAGAGGAAATTAGTAGTTTAAAAAAATCATTTAATTTTAGAACAAAATTCCAAATAATATTTCTTGTAGATTTTATTGAAAAATGGAAACCTTTTAATTCAATTTACAAGATTACGAAGTTGCTTTTTAAAAATAGGATATTTTGTTCTAAATGAATGAAATTAGTTTTAAGATGTGAAAATTCGTTTATTTTTTATAATTTCAGTTCTTCTGACAGTAGTTCGGCGAGTTCGAGTTCAAGCAGTGGTAGCAGTTCAAGATCGAGTTCATCATCAAGTTCGAGTTCAACTAGTTCAGGAAGTTCATCGGGAAGTTCACGGGAAAGGACTCGTAAGCGTAGTCGCAGCAAAAGTGTCGATGCATCGAGACGACATGAAAACAAAGAGAAGGACAAGGATAAGGAACGTGAAAGAGAACGTGAGAGAGAGCGTGAACGTGAGAGGGAACGTGAACGTGAGAGAGAACGAGAGAGGGAGAAAGACAAGAAAAAAAGTAATTCTATTCCTGAGAAACCAAAACCAAAGCCACGATCTAGGTATGTAATTTTTTTTTTTAACTATTTTCAACATTTTTCTTTTTTGAAAGAAATAAATTTTTTTTTCTAATTAAAATTTAGATCGCCAAGTCCACGGAGAAAACGTAGAGAACGATCGCCAATTCCAAGGCCGACAAAAATTCATATTGGACATTTAACACGAAATGTCACCAAGGAACATATTATGGAAATATTTTCCACTTATGGAAATATTAAATTAGTTGATTTTGGAGTTGATAAATTTCATCCAAATCATGGTAGAGGTTTTGCTTATGTTGAATTTGAAACTGCAGACGAGGCTGAAAATGCTATGAAACATATGGACGGAGGTAAAATAATATTTTTTTGAAATCGTTGAATAATTTAAATGAGTATTTAATTATATTTACAGGACAAATTGATGGTCAAGAAATAACTGCTGCTCCTGTATTATTGCCAAAGCCAAGACCACAATTAATGCGTCGAATGTCACCAATGATGGGAAGAAGGCCACCACCAAGATGGATGGGAGGAGGTGGAAGGAATTCACCACCACGTTATCGACGTCGTTCACCGCCAATGAATCGTCGACGTAGTCCACGACCTCCACGACGTAGGCCCAGATCACGTTCACGAAGTCCTCAGAATAATCCTCGTCATCGTCATCGCCGATATACCAGGTCAAGTTCTAGTAGTTCCCGATAATGATTTATTTTCTTTTCTGAGACAATTATATCCACAAAAAAAAAAAAAAAAAAAAAATCAACAACAACAAACCCTCACTCAATCGTTAATCCTATTGGATAAGCTTATTTAGAATGAGTGTAATGAGAGAAAATGAAAGAGATAGAGAGAAAGGAAGAGAAAAAGAGCAAAAAAGAATTTTTTAATATTCGTATCAATTTTTTTTTTCATTGATACCAAGAAACATTCAGTTAAATGAATTTGTTTCGAGTATCAATGAAATAATTGTAAACACTTTTCATTAATATATTGCAATTTCCAATTTATTTTTGATTGTCTTATTTGTTTTTTCTATTAGCGATTATGAAAAAAAGAAGAAAAAAAAATTATTATTCCAGGTTGGACGAGTATGTATGATGATTGTCTTGCAGTTTTTTATACATATGCTCGTTTATATACAAAATAAATATTAACTTTGGTAAAAAGCTCGAGGGACCGAGTGAGTGATTTGCTAAAAAAAAAAAAAAATCAACAAAATGAAGTGCTTTGACTTTTCGTCGTCTGCGCGTATTGTGAAAGAAAAATAAGTAGAATGTTTTTGAATTCATTAGGAAATGTGTGTGTATTTTTTTTTTGTAAGTGGACAGCTAGAAAGATATTTATCTTTTTTTTAATTCTAGATACAATTTTGTCTGGCTCTGAAAAAAAAATCAGTTTTCGAATTTTTTTACTGACAAAAAGAAAGCTAAGTTACATAGTAAAGATGTATGAAAACTGTGAAAATTGTATAAAAAGCAATTAAAAACAAAAAAAATAAGTACATCAATTATTTTCTTTTGATTATTAAGTATCAAAAAAAAATTTAATTTCAAATCATTATTTTGATTCATAAAAGTTTGTTAGAAATAATTATTTTTTAATGAAGGAAAAGAAATGAGGTGACAATGAAAACAAATTAAAATTACTTTGATAGAAACTATGATTATTAGACCCTTTTACAAAGAATCGATTTTAGAAAAAACCTATTCACACAAAACTTCCTTTATACTCGCGATATCTACAAAAACAGAACCATTGCATTTGCATTGCAATAATTTTGCATCGATGAAAAATATCTACAATCTTCAAGGCGTGTATAATTATATAATAATATACAATTTTTTTTTTTTTTTTTTTGTTTTTTTTTTACGGTGACTTTACAAATCATTTACGGTATAGGTGTGTAAAACTTAAATGAAAATGACCCGGATTAAAAAAAAATAACGCAGTTCTGGCTCCATGGCACGTAAAAGACATTTTTTCCCCTCCATTGAAAATTAATTAATCCATTTAATTATACATTAATTGACTTTTAATTATATTGATTTTTTTTTTATTGAAAATTTAAAACAATTTATTAAATTCAGATATTTTAATTTTTATATTAAAAAAAATTGAGCAATAAAGATTTTAAATTAATTAGATGAATTAATTAATACATGATTGACTTCGTGGTAACAAAAAACGCAAACGTCTGCCAAACAATTGAGGACGAGAAAAAAAAATCGACGTCTCAGTTTCCATATAGTGGAGCAAAAATAAGAGATTTATTATGAGGAATGATAAATATCGAAATAAGAAAATTCGTGCAAGAAGTACCTGACGACACATAATTTTTTTTTTTTTTTCAAAGACTTTTGTCACAAACACCCTTTGGCACAAACAAACTTACTTGCGTGACTCTTACGAAAGAATTGCATTTGTTTTTTCTTTTTATTTTCATGTTTCCCTCGTATTTTGCACAATATTATTATAAAGCTTCCAATTAAACTTTTTTTTTCGCGCACAAAGAAATACATCTTTTTTCTTACATATATTTATATATATAGAGAGAGATAGAGATAGATTACTCTCATTTTGTGAAAAAAATTTTTTGCTAAATTTAATAACACAGCGTTTTATTGAAAGCAATCAAAAGAGTAATTAAAAATAAAAAAAAAAACAAGTATTTTTCAAAACTGAAGAAGCAACTTTTTAAATTAAAATCAGTCTTTCAAAATTGAAAAATAAATTTGCTTAAATTTTGAAAGTTTTATTATGAAACATTTTATAATTATAATTTATTTAAAAATGTGAAAGCAATTCTCACATAATTAATAATAAAAAAAAATATCTTAGAACGCATTTTTAAAAAAAATTAAGATCTTCGCCTCTTAATTGCTTTTTTACAAAAAAAAAAAAAAAATTGGCTACGTCCCCATAAACAAGGATTCTAATGACGAAAGAGTCAATTTTTTTTTTTTTTTTTTAATTTTTCTATATATCATTTACTATGTATATCACAGGAAAGTACTGAGTGCCTTTTTTTTCATCGTTTAACTAATAATAATTCTCTTTCTTGTTTTTAGTCTCCAGCATCGAAAGAAAATTGCAATTTGTTTCTTATTTCTCAATTTAAATAACAAGCGTACAGTCGCCAGAGGTACTTGCTCGCTTCTTTCGTGTCTAAAAACTTATTCGTTAAACATTTTTTTTTTGTCCTACCCGCGATAAAATGAAAATTTACACAATATCATTAGCTGTTTTTTTTTTTATATTACATTGTTCAAATCAGTGAAACGCTTCGACAGTGATTCCATGCGTGTTTGACAGAGATTCGATTTCATTTCGATTAATACGTCACAAATAAATAAATAATTAAATAATTTCTCGTTTAGTAAACGCTAGAGATCCGTTTAGCTTTCTTTTTTTCCTTTCATTTTTTTTTAACTAGCTTACTTGCTGTTTTTTTTTGTCTTCTTTTACATTTTGTAGCATCGACTCGCAATCTACAATAATTATAATATTACACACGATATTTAGCTGTACGCATAGTATCATTGTTTAGAATAATAATGTTTATATATATAATTTATATATATATATATGTATATATAGCTATAGACAGACAGTCAAATTCCTCGATACTGCGTTTCGAGTCACGTTACTTCGTAGTAACAAACGTTCTCATTTCTTTCATTTAATATCTATAAATATCGCATATATAATCTATGTACAATTTCTTTGAAATAACGCTATTATACCAAAATATCGGCGATTTCGCGACGAGAGAGACACTTGAGGTGTTGTCGGAAAATTTTTAATCAATTGAAATTTACATTCAATTTTCCAATAGATCGTCTTTATTTACTTACTTTATTTATTTACTTTTTTTTTTTTTAATGGAACAATTTAATGGAAATTTGATTTTTAAAAAAATTGTCTCCGCTAAAATGTAATTTAAATTGAAAAATTACTTTTAAAAAAGTCGAATAAAATTCAAGTGAACGATATTTTGATAAATGTTGACATGAATGTCAATTAAATTGATCTAACTATTAATATAAAATTAATAATTTTAAATTGTATATAGAAAAATTACATATATAAATATATACAAAAATTAAGAAGGCAGCTAATATTTGCAATAACAATTCTTTTAATAAGAATTTTTAGTTTTAATTTAAAAAATTCTATCTAGTTAAATATTAACTAAAATTTAAAAGCACAAATGAGTGTTTGACACTCATTAAATACAAACCTAATTTTATCTCTTTAAGGATTTAATTATTAATTGTCAATTAATAATTTAAAATTGTAAAAAAATTGGTCCAATTATTAATTGAGAATTAATAATTTTAAATTGCATAATTGATCTAATTATTTAAAAATTACATATTTAAAAAAAAATTGAATTCAAAAATTTGTTGTAACTAGATTCATCCAGTCTTGAAGAATTCAATGTGAAATTATTTTAATTTCGTATAAAAATTAAAAAAAAAATATTTTCTACATTTAAATTGTAAAAGTAATCAATTTCATTTTGTTTTAAAAAGAAAAATACTTAAATATTTGTCAAATTAAAATTTTTACTTATTAAATTGTAAAAAAAAAAAATTCCCATTTAAGTGACTAGAGATAAAGGGAAAAGTAATTAAAAATCATTCTTTGTAATAGACGGAAACTAATCGAAAGAAAAAAAAAAAATTTACTAAATGAAAAAAAATATATCAATTTTGTCGAGAACATTGCAAGTGTCTCTCGAAAATTTTTTTTTTTTGTTTTTTGCGAAGAATATCGCGCTCCTTAAGACGATGATGGGAAAGTTACAGGGACAATGTATCATCGAGACTGGGAATTGTCTTCTTTTTTGTGAATTTCCGCTGGATGCATAAGCGATGGATCAAGTTGTCTGCCTAATACACCGGGAACTCCTGGTCCAGGTCCAGCTCTATGATGCATATGAAGATTACTCAATGGTCCAGGATTTGGATCCTTAACGCGTAATGCATTCACCGGTGGCGGTGGATATGCCGCGTATAATTTTGCACGTTCCTCTTCCTCGGCACGAAATGCAGCCATCATTGGATTATAACGAAGCTGTTGCAATGGATCATATCTATATGGATCGCGGAATGGATCACCAGGCCATGGTCCACCAGGTTGTGTTGTTGGACCCGATGGTGGCGGAGGCGGTGGGAATGGTTGCATTGGATGACCGCCAAGTGTTTGTAACATGCTACGCGACATTGTATGCGGCGCTGGAACACTGTGCGGATGCCTCGCGAGATAAGGATGAGGATGAGAATGATGATACCTGAGAATTTTAATTCCAAATAAGTACATCGAAAAGAAAACAAAAAAGAATAAAAGAAATAAATTAAAAGAAGCATACCTAGGATCGGGAAGCTGATTGGGTCCTGGACCAGGTCCAGCTCCAGGCCCAGGTCCAACTGGTGGTGGCCTTGGGAGCATAACAACATCATCATCCTTACTCCTTGGTTCTTCCTTGACTCGAATTTCACCCGTGTCAATTGACGCTGATCCATTTCTAATTGGCGATCGTTCACGACCAACGACCATGTGTTGACGATTTTTCATCATCAATCTCTCACGTTCCATTTCTCTCCTTTCCATTTCGCGTCTCTCTTTTTCTCGTCTCTCGCGTTCCCTCTCGGCGGCTTCCTGTTTTCTTTTCTCCTCTTTTTCACGTTCTCTTCTCTCCTTTTCCCTTTGCTCCTCTCTCTCCCTTTCGCGTCTAACTCTTTCGCGCTCGCGTTCTCGTTCACGCTCACGTTCACGTTCCCTCTCGCGTTCTCTCTCACGTTCACGCTCTTCAAATTCGGCCCTTCTGTCGATAGTTGGCATCTCTGGTTTTATCGCCCATGAAACGGTCGTTGGCGGAAAACCAGATGGAGCTCGTTGTAATCTAAAAAAAAATTCATTTATTAATTATAAATCGCAATTTAATTTCTCTTGTGATTTTAAAAACAGAATTTACCCTCTCCATGGATCGTGAACGGAACCAAGTCCGCCCAATGGTGGCATTTCTCTCGATGAGGGAAAGCCGGAAAATCCAGGAAAATTGGGATTTGTTGTACCAAACGTCGATGGATATCTACCGAATGGAGACATTCCACTTCCTGCAAGAAATTAATTCAAAGTACTAAAATTGTAATAAATTGCGAAAAATATTTAATGAAAAAAGAAAAAGAAGATACGAACCTAAATGTGAAGATGAAGATGACAGAAAGGCGACAGGATGTGGTTGTGGTGGTGCTGGATGTGTTTGTGGCATATTACTTGGAAGTGACATTGGTGGATTGAGACCAAGGCCACCTGTGGGTCCACCAGCGAAAAGATGACCCGGCGGTCGAAGTAATTCTGTTTTCGTACTAACAACACTATTTGCTTTTGCTTCAGCGCGTTGTTTTTGTTGATGATGATAAATTTCCCACGCTATTCGTGCATGCATCGCATTCCACTTTCCCGTCTTCTGCAATGCGAATTCAACGTTCGAGAATTCTTTCACTCGAAACTCTTGATTGTTTCGTACATTTGGATTGGGCATCTTTTAAGAGAGAAAACAAAAAGAGAAAAAAACAAGAATAATTATACATAAAGTAAATAACAAAAGAAAAATTTATTTAAAAATCAAAAATTTGACAAAATTAATAGAAATTATAATTTGAAATTAAAACAAAAGAAATAAAATTATTTAAAAAAGGAAAAATCATTCCATTTGAATATATATATATATTTTTATATACCTTTGGAGGAAATGACGAGAGATGATTATGCGCGACAAATGGTCCAGGAGGAGCTCCACCAGGATGAAGGAGACCAGCATTGAATCCTGAGATTCCCGAGAGATTGAGACTTCCGCGAAAAAATTGTGAATCAACTGCTCCTAATTTTGGAATGTCCTGGAAATTTAAAAATAAATGATAAATAGTATTTATAATAATAAAAATTAAAAAGAAACGAAAAAATGGAAAGATTTTCAAAAAGAAAGAAATACTTACAATTGAGGGAGGATAAAGACTTGTAGGTGCAGACTGTGGGATTAACGACGATGAATGTTGATGAACATGAGTGTGTTCATGTTGATGATGATGCATTTCTGTTCGAATATAAAGCGGTGGTCCAAGATTGCCAACATCAACTCCAATATTTCGATTTTGCGGAGCCAAAAATCTATTCTCGAGATCTCTTCTCAATAGATCCGCTTGACCTGCAACATGATTCACCCCTAACACTCGATTAAAATTACGTTCCTCAAGAAAAAAAATTTTTTTTTTTCATTATGTAAAAAACTTACTTGTTTGGAAAAGAGATTCAGCTGAGAATGGATTTGGATTTGCTGGAGGTGGTGGAAGCGAGGGCATAGAAGTATGTGGACTCGCATTTGAAACTGGCGGTGGCAATGGTGCTGCAAACATTGGCGGTGGAAACGTATGTAAACCAAGTGGCACAGGTGGAGGAGTTGGCCTCGGAACCGATGTGTTTATTGCTGGCGATAATTGTGGAGCCGAACTGCTACTGTAAATTTTCAAAAAGGAATTTTTTTTTTATTACAAAATTTAACAAAAAAAAATTTTTTCCAAATATATACAAAATTTTTCCTTTTTTTTAAATTTATTTGCATAACGAAAAATTAATTAAAAATCGTATTACCTGATCCACCCTTGAGCCTTGGAGTAAGCAGGTAGACTAGAATTTGCTGGAGATGATGTGTTTGGCACACTGACAGGCGTTATACTCCCACGACTTAAGCTGCTCACGTTGCTGCTGTAACGAGGATCATTTTTTATTGACAACGTTAAAAAAACAGAAAAAAATAATTTAGTGATTATTTCTAAATGAAAAAAATTATCTTTTATTGATATTTATTTTAAAAATTTTTTTCAATATTTGTAAATAATTATTTATCTGCGATCAATTGGTAGGACAATGTACCTGTAACTATCTCGTTCACGATTTGGACTATGTCCACGTGGTGAATTGTTGGTATTTCTTCCGGCTAAACTACAGGCCACGATATCTCGATGTGCAATTGTATTTGCGGTGGTAACTGTATTTGTTATCGTCGAAACACACGTGGTTGTGGCAGCACTAAGTGGAGTATTATTGGTAATATTGTTATTATGATTCGGCACATTATTTGTTATTGTTTGTTTGATTAAATTTGTGCACGGTGAAGCTCTGCTGCTCCTCTGCGAAAAAAAAAGATAAATAAATTACTCTTAACCAAAATGAATTTTATAAAAAAAAAAATTTTGTTTCATCTAAATATTAATATTTTCTGTTTTTAAACAATATTTGGTTTTAAAATTAATATTGTTTGTTTTAAACATTAATATTATTTAATAATATTGTTTGATGTAAAGTAAATTTTGATGGAATTTTAATGTAATTGAATTTTTATAAATATTTTTCGGAAACTCACCACATCGGTGCGCGATGACGTTGAATGTGAGGGAGATGGTACGGCGGGTGGAAGATAAGGACTGTGATTAAGGGCAGTGTAAGGAGTGTATAGAGGTGGATAAGACGGCTGTGTTTGTGGATAAGCAGCCATTGGCAGAGGCGGTGGATAGCTGGTGGTTGCCGCTCCGTTTGATGGAGCTGCTGGAGTAACACCTAAACTTGCAACAGCAGGACTAGTTGTGTGGCTTGATGAAACGTGTGGTACATTAGGCGTATGTAAAGCAGGTATCGTAGTGTGAGGTTGTTGTGGCAGTGATGGGGGCGGTAAAGCGGGCGAAGCTGGCGGTTGTTGTGGAGCTATTGCACGAGGATTCGCTGCCAGCGGACTAGTAATCTAAAGAGTAAACAAAAATTTTAATTAAAAATTTTAATATTTTACAAAAAAATAATATATATATATTTCCAAAATAATACTTACAGGTGGTTGGGATATGTGAGGCGGTAATGTTGGACTTGGAGGACTCGGTGCCGTTGGAACAGGTGCAGAAGCAGGCACAGGAGGAGGAATTGGAGCTGGAGCATCAGTCGCAGGATTAGAAATTTGTCCGCCAGTGTCTGGAGGTGATCCTCCTGCTCCATTGGCTGGCGGCAGCACGTGTGGCGAGGAAGATGGCAACTCGTCTAAAAAAAATTAATTTATGAATTTATTAAAAAAAAAGGGGTAAGAAAAAATGACAATTTTTTTCCCTTCAAAAAAAGGAATTTCAAAAATTGTTCTTACATTTTCGTGCAAGAGGCGGTGGAGTAGCAGATTCAAAGAGTACCGATTCAGCATCAGAGCCCTTGTCGTCTTCTCCTTCGCTATCACACTAAGAAGAAAAATATGAATTAAAAAAAAAAAAAAAACATGAATCTCGATTATAAAGGTGAAAATGAAATATACTTACGATATAGCCTTTACCCGAACTGCAATGACTACTTGCCTATATAAAACAAAGTTAAAATATTCATGTAAGTCATATGCAATGTTGAAAAGCTTATCAATATACGAGAACTATTAAAAGTAGGTGTGCAATCGGTCTTAATTGTCTGACATTCTGTTTTGAAAAATGTTATCTTTTGTAATTGGAGAACGTTCTATTTATCATTTGCTTATCGACAAAAATTATTATCAAAAGTTTAAAAAACAAAGTTTGTGCTACTTTTAAATTTTCTTTTTTTAAAATAATAAAATTATTTCTTTTTTTTATCCTTACATCGCTGAGATGGTCCCTGGAACTGTCTGCATCCTGACAATCTCTTGTTGCACCAGGGCCATGCAACTGTTCGGACGCTCTTCCGCTATCGTCACTTGTTCCTGCATCCAGGCCCTGTAAAATATATAAAATTTTTTTTTTATTTTTGTTTGTAAAAAATAAATTTCCTTCATTAAATATTTAATTACCTGGTTGAGCGTTGAGGGTGGCAGTATGGAATTGTGTGAATAATGATTGTGCTTATAATGATTCTTGATGTGATGCTCGTTGTGTCGATTATTCTGTCCGATATCCACTTTTGGTTTTTCATCAACTATCGACAACAATGAATGAAGTTTCTTGACATTATTTTTACCAGCTAGTTTTATTGCACTCTGTAAAAAAGAAAATTTATACATTAAGATATACATATTATTGGAATAATAAAATAAATGTTCAAAACAAAGTAAATAGAGGAATAAAGGAAATATATAGAAAAAATTTGAAGAAGAAAAGATATTAGGACAGTTACGAAAAAAATTCTATTATCATATAATACCTGAAACGTTTAATATAAAAATTGTTATTTCATTAAAAACCAAAATTAACTATTTTCCGATTTTTATGTATTATTGTTTACTTTTTTTTTTTTTTTTTTTTGGTTATTTCCTGGAATACATTTCCCGCAAAAAATTTAAACACTGATTTACAATTTCTTGTAGATAAGCAACTGCAATAATAAATTAATACGCGCTTCTAATTGGCTGGTAATTTATGAGGACAAATTACCAACCAATCAAAAGCAAGTAACAAAAATGTTAATGCAGTTGCCTATCTTGTAAATTAGTAAATTTTTTTCAGTTTTAGAGGGAAAATTTCAAGAGAAGGATGTTGTTCGCGAAAAGTAAATTAAAAATTAATTAAAAATGACTAAATATGTTAATATCAAGAAGATTAAACATAACATTTGACTTAAAAATGTGATTAGCCGTGATTAGCCCGAATATTGAACATTCCGTTTGTTTTTAAAATTCACTTATCGAAGGTTATGTTAGACACTCTAGTTTCTTTTAATGTAGTGTAAAATATCTCAGGTCACGTGAAATAAGGTAAATGACCAGCTGATACCAGTTTTCGAAAGTTGGTTACCAAGTTTTTGTAAATCAAGAATGAAAATCGAGTTTTGATCGAGAGGGGACCAAATTCCTGTTCTTCACTGTATATATATATACATGTGACAATAACAATAACACACAGGTGCGTGCATTGTTGTGAATTTTAAGGACTCGCACAAGTGAATAACTTTTCGCGGGTCGTTGGCAATGTACCGAAAAAAAAGAAATGTGTGCAAATCGAACAAACTCTCGACCGGTTTTCTCTGTTAAGTGATCAGTGGCAGTGTTGGAATCTGGTATTTGAGACGAGACGGGGAATTTATATATATATATATATATATATACAAGAGAGTTGAAGTATCAACTCTCTCATATGTTATTTTTTTCGATTAATCTGACCTCTGACAACATTCGTCATATGGTCTCGAGCTGAGAAGACTGTTTTGAGTATTCGCGACAACACAACGAGAACCGGCAAGTCGCGAGCATAGCCCTGACAAGACGGACAGAAATAGACTCCAAGATCGACGAAATTTCGAATATTTCGACCTGAGACAAACCGGTTGTTCGCGATATGGCGGTGCACAACACGAGTGACGGAGAGGGAGATTCGCACTTTTGGTGGGGACTGATGATATTGAAGAAAGCATGTAGAGGGGAAAATATACGCAGGTACGTACACTTTTATCATCAAAAATTCTCTTTTTCTAATCATTATTTTTATTAAATAATGATTTATCATTTCAATGCATATTTTTTGGTTGTACCTAAGGTTAACATAACCTAAAAATTGACATAATTTTCGCGCTTTTTAAGTATACAGTTTCCTTGATTGTTATCGTATTTACTTTTGTCGTACATAAAGACCCTTTGTGTCAATAATATAGTATGTATATAGTTTTCATTTTGACAATGATTGAAGGCACTCCAAATCCCTTTTTTTGTGTTAAGTAATTTCGATCTCTTATCAAAATAACAAAACAAAATATTTAATTATTATCGCAGCGGAAAATAAACAATTTTATTATAAATTAATTTCTTATCTACTGTGTCGAAAAAAAAAATTGTTTATTGATTTTATTAGTAGGAATTTAAATTATATTGAATTACTAACATTTTATTTCAAATATCCGAGAAAATCCCTTTTAATGCTTAATCCATAATCATTGAACTGCTACCTGACTTAAGTTGTTTCACTTTAAGACTTATCATGAGCCGATTATTTCAGCGACTTATTTTTATCCCTATTATGGAGTTCTTATTATAGGTTCTTATCTCAGGCTATACGGGTTCACCAAAATACGATTACACTGCGTTGAAATTGCAAAAACTAAAGACTGTATTTAGTTGTAACAAAATTTTCATTATACAAAAAACTCTTTATATCTGAATTTTATTTACAATTATGAATTTACAATTTGAATTTAGTTAATGATTATTCCAAACAATGGTTATAATTATATTTCAAATTATGATAGTTTCAATAAAATCATATAAATTAATATTTTTAATAAATTGTGAATTCCTGATCAAATTGATAACTTTTTATTATTAAAAGTTTCAAAACATTTTCAAACAATAGTATTTTTAATTAGTATTATTTTTTAAATATCGAAAGTTTTGTCATTTTAAATACGTTTTTTTTAATATTATAAATTAGGATTATTTATAAGCGATAATAAAAAAATAAGAATTAAGCCCTAAATCAATATATTGCTTCCGTAAAATTATTATTATTATTAGGGTATAATATATAACGATGGTCATATTTCGAATGTTGCTTTTATTCGTGAAAATTTCGTGAAAGGTCAAAATCATAATTTTGAAAGGAGCTTCCCTCTTTGCCCAGGTAGTCAGATTTAAAGAGCCCCCCCCCCTCTCTTCAATACACCAAAAATGAGTCAACAAATGAAACGGTACTAAACGGCCTATTATGAATTGTTGAAACCACTGTAAATATTGTTTTTCTCTCTCTCTCTTCTTTCTTATTTCGATGATTATAAATAAAAATCAGTTTGACAAAATGTTCTTGTAGACAAGTTTTCAGAGATCAATAGATTCGTCCCATTTTCTCTTTCTCCCTGCGTTTAAGCACGACCCTGGGCAAACGTTGTCTACGTATACCGAGGGAGTACGAGAGAGAAAGGGAGAAAAGAAGACATTGACCGAACGAACAGCCGCTCGGCAAGCTCAGGCCAGTCTCTCTTTTTCTCTCTTTTTCTTTTTCTCTGTCTTTTTCTCTCATCCCCCTTTCGCCCCAATTCAACTTCTTCTTCTTCTCCTTCCTCTTTCTCCTCTCGACAGACCAGCCAGTAAGTATATCAGAAAAGGAAAAAGAGAGAAAAATAACAAAAAAAAAAAAAAATACCAGTAGATTAAGCGAGGGCAAGAACACGCTATATTCTATATATTGTCAGCATTCATTCCACCTGCGCACGTGTACCAACTGTGCTTGAACAGCAACTTGTATAGTCGGCAAAAAGTGTTATTTGTCCTAAGACACTACTGTTTTATATTTATGTGATTATAAATTTCTTTTTGAATATTAAATTCATTGACGTAACAATGTCATACGTTTTCGTCAATTTTATGAAAAATAATGTTTTACTCGTCGCGCAAAACAGCTGATTTGCAGCTGCAAATATAGCCTTTATTTATTTATAATATTTATATTTTTTTTCTCTAATATTTTATTTATCTTGAATCTTGTTAAAATTCGACATAATATATTTGAAAGAATTTTACTTTGAATTATTAATAATAATTTCATATATTAATTTAATGTCAAATTTGATTAAAATACACTGAAAAAAAAATTTATTTGATTCAAATACCGGTGTATTTGGTTATTATCAAATAAATATTTACTTGAATCAAATATTTTTTATTTGAATCAAATAAATTATATTTGCTTCAAATACTGAAATATTTGATTCAAATAAATATTTACTTGAACCGCAAATAATTTTCATTTGAATTAAATAAATTTGTATTTTGAACCAATAATTTTTGTATTTTAAAACAAATACCGCATTTAATTGATTCAAATAATAATTATTTGTTACAAAATAAATATTTATTTGATAATATAATCAAGTAATCCGAGTATTTTAATGAAATAATTTTTTTTCAGTGTATATTTAATTTAATATAATATTTTAAATGGACATAAATATTTATATTAAATTAAATATAGAGTTAAATAATAATAAAGATATAAATACGTTAATAATATAAAAAGACAAAGAAAGTTCGGATAACAGAGGTTCGGATAATCAAGGTTCCACTGTATTAATATTATAATTTTGAAATGTGTCAAAAGTAGAGTATTTTTTAATTTACCACTGTTTTTGCATTTAATATTTTTTAATATAGAAAATATTAAACAGATATTTCTATATTAATATTTTCTTATGAAAAATATTAAACAGTTTTTTTTTAAATATTTTTTTATACAAAATATTAAACAAATTTTTTCATTAATATTATTTTAGAGATTTTTTTAACAGTGAATATATTTTCTCTATAAATTATTATTTATCGAATACAGATTTATATTTTATAATCACGTTTATTATTTTAACAGTATTGGATTATTGTGCAGGATATATATTTTTTTTTATATTAAAAAAGAAATAAAGAATGAAAATATCTTAAGACAAGCGTCTCTCTAAAGATATGTGGAGGGGGAATATGGGGAAAAGAGATAATGTTTTTAGTAGATGAAATTCCAAGTCGACAGTTCACTCAACAAGACACTAGGTGGTATACAAGCTTTGCTTTCCAACAACCCTTTTCTTAGTTAGTCCACTCTTTTTCTTTGTGTGAAAGCTCCGGAAACCGGTGTAACCTCTCTATAGAGAGGTGAGGGGGGAAAGCTTTTCTTTTGGCATTAGAACTTGTTGGAAAAAGTTTATTAAATAATTTTAATTAAATCGTTATTAAATAAATAAAAAATTAATAATAGATAAATAATAAATAAATAAAAAATAAGTAGGAGCGTAGGAAAAAAAAAACATTGAGTGTATTTTATAGTTTACGAAGGCAAAAAAATTATTATTTATATAAATAGGTAAATATTTCAATTATACACCAGAAATGCGTATATGAAGATTTTTGAAAAACCAACTGCTTTAACGGTACTAGTGATATCATATAATCGATAAACACCTAATATACGACAAGGAAGAGAGAGATATTGGAATTTCTAACCAGAAAGGTATTCAGGAAAGCAAATCCATTTCCATATCGTGAAAATAGATAAAAAAAAATTGCAAATGGTTCATTAAGACAAAAAAAAATTTTTAATTTTAATTAAAAATATTCTCCTTTTTTTTATGCAATATATGTATACAATTGTCTTATAAACATGATATATAGTTAATTATTTGATATGAGCGCATAAAATGCAATTTGAGATTAAATATAGTATATATAATTAAAAGAAAAAGTTGAATGAATATTATGCTAATGAATTTTGCATATACATGGTTATTAAAACAATTACAACAAACAATTTAAAGGAGACCAAAAGTTTTATTAAAATAATAAGAAAAAAAAAAAAAAACAATGTTGAGATAATTGACAGTTATATGATGATAATTAATTTACGTATACACAATAAATATGAAAATTAGCTTATTAAAAATTCAGAGATATATTAGGTTGATTAAAAGCGATCAATTTAGTTTCCAATTGACAAATTCTTTTCTTTTTATTTATTTTTTTCAATTCGTCTATTGGAAACCAATAATGTGAAAAAGTTTCTTTGTTAATTAGATGAGTGATTTTTATTTAAAAATTTTATTTTTATTCTGTATAGATTGGGTTTCAATCAATATAGAAAACTATTGATTGACTTAATTGGAACTATATATATATAACCATATATTGTTGAAAACTTACTGTTTGCAACTACTATTATTTTGAATATTAACTGTTAATTTGAAAATAGTTTGAAAGAAATTTTATTAATTGAAACTATCATATAACAATAACTAAAATTACAAATTAAATACTGCTTATATAATTTTTGTTATTTACAATTATTATAAATTAAAAATATTTCGAATTGAAACTATTACACTCAGAAAAAATATATGTTTGAACCAAATGTACCATTTTTTTTATATTTACCCAATTTTTTGGTTAGTTCAAACAAAATTTGTTTAATTCAAATAAATATTTATTTTGATCTAAATAACTGTTTGGTTTATTTTAATAAATTTTTTGAACAAAGAAAAAATTTGATTGATCTAAATAAACGTTTGGTTTATGCAACCAAATGTTTGGTTAACTGCGTATTTCAATGCATTTATTTTATGTTGATTTAACCAAAATTTGGTTGCTTCAAACGAATTTTTTTCTGAGTGTACAAATTAAAATTATTACGAATTAAAACTATTAGAAATTAAAACTACTCCAAATTAAAACTATATTACTAATTAAAATTATTACAAATTGAAAATATTACAATAGAAAAAATGTTTATATGATTCAAATAATTTGTTACTTGACTATTATTAAATAAATATTTATATCAAATAATTTTTATTTGAATCAAATAAACTCTATTTAAACTACTAATTTCTGTACTTGAAACAAATAAAAATTGACTTGAAATTATTTGGTTCAAAGAAATATTTATTTGCTAATAAGTAATCGATTATTTG